AGGAAAACGCCAGCCGAAAACGGCAAGGCAAGACATGAAAAACAGAGACAGCGTGGAAGCTGCTCCACAGCACTGCCGTGGGTTCTGATGCCACAAGATCAATCTCCGAGTCTACTCCACAGCACCAAGTCAACTGGAGAAGGAAACGCGAGCTTTTAGGTGAATCTAGCAGCGCACCTGGAGCAGGTCGGCCGTGTAGTCCACGTTGGTGTGGATCTCCCCTCGGATCTGCACCGACTTGAGCGCCAGCACCATGTTAGCTATGGCGGCCGGCCGGTCCTGGCCAAACGCAAACAGGTGACCTGCGGTGAGAGAGGGGGGGAGATGTGACGGAGGGAGGGAGATGCACGGGGGGGGGGGGGAGGAGTTTGAGCGCCAGCACCATGTTGGCCATGGCTGAAGGCTGGTCCTGGCCGAATGCAAACAAGTGACCTGAAGCACAAGACGGGAAGATGTGACGGAGGGAGGGAGGGAGGGAGATGCAAGAGAGAAGCTCAGCTCCTAACCTTTTGGGGGCTTAAACCCGTCCTCCTGGCCCTCACTGGTCACCCACACTGCCACCACGTGCCCTAAACCAGTACCCAAAAACGCCCAATTTCGACACAACTGCAGCACTCACCAAACTGGGAGTCGGAGAACTCGTGAATCTGGCCGCCCGCCTTGATGGAGAAGTACGCCCACACGTCTGGCTTGCTCCTGAAGCTCAGCTCCTGCACCCGGCCGCTCGTGGGCTTGAACCCGTTCTCGGGGTCCTCACTGGTCACCCGCACCGCCACCACGTGCCCCTTGGGCTTGGTGGACGTGACGTCATCAAAGTTGAAGGTGTCCAGCCCCGCACACTTGCGCCAGTCACTGGAACCACCTCCCCCCCGCCCATAGAAGCGGCGGATCTCTGGCAGGCGGAAGAGAGGGACGCCCATGGCGATGGAGAGCTGCGTCGCTGGGAGGTTCACCCCGGCTATCCACTCCGTCACTGGATGCTCCACCTGTCAGGGGGGAGTGGGGGATGGGGACAAAGGGGTTAAGGTGAAAACACTAGTCTGAGGAGAGGGATGTATGTGGCGAGGCAGAGCTGCGTCGCTGGGAGGTTCACCCCAGCTATCACTCCGTCACTGGATGCTCCACCTGAGATGGAGGGGTTGTAGGGGAATGGAGGGAGAACACGTTTGACATGAGAGGGATGGGGAGGCGTTGTAGGGGATGGAGATCTGTGTGTAGCTTGACTGTGGCTACCCCCCGCCCACGTACTGCATGCTCCACTTGCCAGAGTGTCAATGGGGAGGGGCGGGGGGGGGTTGGTGGAGAGATGGAGCAAGAATACATCGAATAGTGGGCATGACCGACCATATCTCGAGGCGGCAGGAGAGAGCATACTCGCAGGCTGAGGGGTCAGCACACCTGCAGGCGCGGGTTGACTTCGAGAAAGTAGGAGGAGTTGCCCGCCATGCTGTACAGGTACTCCACCGTCGCCACGCCGCAGTACCCCACGATCTTGGCCAGCCGCCTCGCGCCCTGCTCCAGCTCGTGTATCACGTCTGGCGGGGCCACGCTGATCGGCCCTTCCTCAATGATCTGCACGGTGATTCAGCGGCGAGTCAGCATGGTGGAAGATGGGTCAGCAGTGAGACAGCACCATTCAAGCCGCGAGCCAGTTTGTGAGCCGGTATGTGAGGAAGCAGTGCGTCAGTGGGCCAGCACAAGTCAGCGGGCCCTAGTTGGCACACCCTGCCTCACACTATCAGTGTGGCACCTATCCCACCTCGCTCTACACTGAAAAGCAGGCGTCTGGAACAACCCTTCACTGTACTCAAATCCTGTCTACAAGTTTCTTCCCAAACTTGCAATTGCAAGGCGCTATGAGTCACGGGTCCTAGCTATATCATCAACACCAACAATTGAGCCATCTCAGTTGCCGTCCGTCTCCCAAAACCATTAACGCTTATTCTACCTACAAGTTCTGGTCCTGTACAGCTGCTGCTGATAGAGCTTCGTACCCGTAACTCGTTCATCAGCTGTTCCTAGGTTTAGTACGCGTTGTAATACTCGTCACACTAAAGCAATTTCTGGTGGCGCCACAGGCTGCCGCAGTCCCTGCCGTGCAGCACAACGACGGTGCCATACGCGTCACGTGCTAACACACACAGGCTCAGTTTCATACGCCATGCCTTAAACACGTTACGCACCCCTGCCCTTGACCCATGCCCCACACACCCTTCCCTCCCCTCTCACCTTCTGGTGGCGCCTCTGGATGCTGCAGTCCCTGCTGTGCAGCGCCACCACGTTGCCATACGCGTCACACGCCAGCTGCACCTCCAAGTGCCGGCTCTGACGAATAGCGGATGCGACGGAGGGGACGTGAAGGGAGAAAGAGGGTCCGAGGCGATTAAGGATGGGGGAAAACGAAACGGGAGGAAGTTTTCACTACCGCCAACCTCGTTATGGTAAAATACGGTAGCGCAATTCATTTCGACACTGCAGTTCGTTACTTTCTAGGACACAATTTCCAAGAACCCGCAGCTGTCCTCTTCGCGTGCTGAGCCTTGACAACGCCCGCGGCTAACAAAACCTAATGAAGGAAACAACCACCCATAAACGACTTACCAGCGCAGCCACTTTCATGACGAAGACAGGCGAGCCGGGCACCTCTCCCTGCACTTGCTTGAACAGCGTCATCGCCTCCTCCTCGTTGTGCACCTGCACTCCCCGGCGCACCAACGCAGTTCCCAAGGAAAAAACAAAAACGGATGCTTAGCTCCGAGGCGAGCGCTTGAAACTATAGAAAGAAGAAAATCGCGAAGGCGAGCGAGCGAGAGGCTTGGGAGGCGAGTAGCAAAGAGCAAGTGAAGGAGGGTTTACCTTGCGGATACCCTTGCCGCCGCCACCCCAAGAGGCCTTGATCATGGCTGGGTAACCCACGCGGTTGCAGCACTCAAGGCAATCCTCCGTGGTGCGCACGCACGCCTGGTGGTAGAGCTCGTCGTCGATCTCCTCCCTGCACTGCTCGTCGGGCAGGATTATCTGGTGCAGGGCGCACACGACAGCACAGAAGTAGGGGAGAATAGACAGAGATAAGAGAAACGGACAATGAGTGAAACAGTCTGACCCAATTACTTATCGGGCAAGCAAGAGGAGAGCACTGATTGGCGACGCTTTACAACGGGTGCAAGCGTTGCAGAAACGACGCATCAAGCTGTTACGACAATGAAGACGTGTCTTGCACTTACGTTGGAGCCACTCCACGGAATCGTTGAGACTCGGGCAGTCTGAGCTATAAGCGTGGAGCCAATCTTATCGCCCAGAGCCGCCATGGCATGCGCGGGAGGACCGAGGAACGCTATGCCTTTAGCCGTGAGGGTCGCCGGCAGATCCGGATTCTCCGACGCGTGGCCCCAACCAGGCCATACAGCATCCACTTTAGTCCGCTCAGCCACCTGAGATGAACGAAAACGAGTTAAGAATATTGCTTGAACCACGGCAACTGCACACGGTAGAAAAGATTGCCGCTAAGTCCTAATGCTACGCACACGGACATTTGTCGTTTACCTCGACAATAAGCTGGACGTTCGCGTAGTTGTTGTTGTTGGTCCCGCCAGGAACCTCAACGAACGTATCAGCCATGCGAATGTGTTCGGCATTCGCACGCATGTCTTCGGGCGTCGCCATGGCGACCAGCTGAATGGCTCGCTCTTGACCGAAGGTCTCGAAGGCCCATGACCTGATAAATAGGCGATAGGATAGGAAAGTAAATAAATAAAATGTAAGTTAGCTTTCATGAACTTGAAAACCGCCTTTTAACGGGGATGTTGGACTAACCTGATGCTGTTGATAAACTTGACGGCTGCAATGCCATTGTTAGCGATCAGAACGCTGTTAATGGGCCGTGTTCCCCCGAGGAGACGGCAGTATTCGGCCACCATGTTTGGCCCTCCGCTGAACGCGGTTCCATTAGCTACAGGCACCATACTGGAGAGTCACGGAGATCACCAAGGGTCTACTAGCTCTACAATTTCAAAACGGTCTATTCGTCTAGAGAACAGTCTTCCAGGTTAGGCAGGATCACATCTCAATACGGTTGTCTAAAACCACTTTTAAAACTCTATGTCCCGCACCAGAAGGGCAGTGTCCTGTCCACCTATGCAGATCCGCCTATCACTACAAGCCTATTATCCCAACAGGAGAGTGACGCAAGCCTTCTGACTTTGGTTCTAACGTAACTCCAGAGTGATGATACGTCACTTTCAACGGTTGGCAATATTGAACATGGAGCTGAAGGCTAGGAATTGTACAGGCAAGAGGAAACCGAGAGATGCAAGAGATGCTCATTCCACCAGATGCAGGGAAGAGTGGCGGTCAGGAGGACTCAGGAGAAAGGCGAGGGGTGGGAACGAAAGGCGGGAAACTCCTTGGGATCATCTCTGTCCGTCTCTGTCAGAAGCCAGACGAAGTCGCTGTACTTCGCATTGTAGTGCGAATAGAAGTTACCGGGTCTGGCCCCTAAATCGCAGTGTCGCGGGCATCATTGGCAATTCCCAAGGTCACTGTCTATCACTTCCTTGCAGCGATTCAAACGTCAGCACTAGCGGCTTGGAGCTTCATTCGAAGCCGTGCAAACACCACACTCGTGTGCAGAAAGGATGCGGCAAAGAAATCGCTAAAGTTACACTAGGCTAACGTTTTCCCCTTCGCGTCAATTCGTCTATTCTTGCGATTGGCTGCGACCAGCCACTCTATGCGTCATGTGGCATTCTCGCTCGAGACTGGCCCACGCGTCACGAGAACGAAAGGTGTCAGAGAAGTGCAGGGTAGCATGTGGTGGAAGTTTGTGCAGCCGCGACGCGACCACCTAGCTTGGGGTTTTGGCTTGGATGCATCCAGACCTAGTTTGAGAATTTCGTGGAAGCGATACGCATTTGAAGCGGAACAGATAAGACGCGACACAAAGCAGCGCCAAATGTCAACGGCTTAAGTGAATTGAGGATTTTGAAGTGTATCCCATTGCTAATAGCAAAATCGAATGTGAGCAAGAATACACACGGAAATGCATGCAAGATAAAGGAACTGACGTGAGGACTGAATCAAACTCCTGAACCATAATAAATGCGCTGCCTCAGGAGACGAGGCACATTAGGGAGTATGAGTATGCTAGCACCAACTATTACCATACCTCCATGGTTCACATGCCTGTAACCGTCACCTAAAACACTTGGGGGACAAAGGTCTGATCAGTGACTGGCGGCCTCACATAATAATCCTCCTGCAGCGGCGGGATCTTCACATCATTCGGCTCGATCAGATCTTCATACGGGATCAAGCTGAGCAGATGCGCTATCACATTCAGCCTCGCCTCCTTCTTATCGTCCGATGGCACCACATACCATGGAGCCTGCTTGATATCGCAGTACCCAAACATCACGTCTTTCGCATACGAGTAATCCGCCCACCGCGCCCGCGACTGCAGGTCCATGTCGCTCAGCTTCCACCGCTTCTCAGGCCGGTCCAACCGCTCCTTAAACCGCTTCTCCTGCTCCTCTGGACTCACCGACACCCAGTACTTCACCAAAATAATCCCCGACCGCACCAGCATGCGCTCAAACTCAGGGCACGACCGCAGAAACTCCCGATACTCCTCATCTGTGCAAAACCCCATGACCCGCTCGACCCCCGCGCGGTTGTACCAGCTTCGGTCAAAGAGAACCATCTCGCCCGCGGCGGGGAGGTGCGCCACGTAGCGCTGGAAGTACCACTGCGTGCGCTCACGGTCCGAGGGGGTGCCCAGCGCCTTGATGCTGCACACGCGCGGGTTCAGCGGCGAGGTGATCACCTTGAGTATGCCGCCCTTGCCCGCCGCGTCACGCCCCTCGAAGATGACGACCACGCGGAGGCCCTTGTTTTTGATCCACTCCTGCAGCTTCACTAGCTCCAGCTGGGAAGGGTGGGAAGAGGCGAAGGGGGAGGAGGGAGGAGAGGAAGAGAGAAAGGCGAGTGAGGGCAAGAATGCACTCTAGGAGATCACCACCACGCGCAGACCCTTGCTCTGGATCCACTCCTGCAGCTTCACTAGCTCCAGCTGGGGGGGCGGGGAAAGGGGGGATGGGGGGTGGATGGCGGGATGGGGGGATGGTGGCGGGATGGGGAGGCGGAGGGGAGATGGAGAAAGGCATGTAGAAAACCCTACGAAGATCATCACGACACGTGACTCTTATTTGTTATCCAATCCTGAGCTCGAGCTGGTGGACACGGGGAGAAGGAGAGGGGAGGCGGGGGGGGGGGGAAGGGGGGAAGAGAGGAGGGAGAAAGACGTCTGATAGGCAACAGGAAAATCTCTAGGGAGACGACCACCACACGCAGGGGACCTTCTTTCTCATCGCCCCTGCAGATTTACTTGCTCGAGGTGGGGGGGGATGGGAGGAGAGAGATGGTGGGCGGGAGGGGAAGGGGTGGGGGGTTGGGTGGTGGAGAGCAGGGAGAACAGGGAGGGCATGCAGGTGGGGGAAACGGAGGGAAGCACATTCATGGGCGGCATACGTTTGTCTGTTCCTAGGTTATGGCACGTGCACCCAGCTTCACAAAACCACTCGCACTCACACATTTACGTTGCAATGAGCAATGCGCAATGTGCACGTTACGTGCTTATAAACTTGCACTTACACGCTATTCCTGCCCTTAATAAAGCCCGGAAACTTCCTGTGGATTGACCTTCGCAGTCCACATTTACCTGCCCACAGCTTTGAGGCGCCTCAAAATTTACCTGCCCAGAGCACTTCCACTACCCGTGCTTGTTGAATTCGCCAAACCTTTCTGGATTCGTAAACCCAAAGTACGGACACTCTCAAGAGAGACCAAAGCAAACAGGTGCAAGTGCATTCCATACAGATGCAAACTTTCATTCCCAGGAACACCTGGTACGCGTTACAAGCTCACCTGCAGCCTCTCCAGCTCGTCCTCGTAATCATAGTTCTTCTTCTTCTTCCCCTTATCCTTCTCCGCCGCTTTCGCGTGCGACGACAGGTCGTCCGGGTAATGTGCGAATCGCTCAACCCCCCGGCTGCGACCCGCCTTGCCCTTCTTCGCTTTCTTGCTCCCTTCGCTGCCCGTGGAGGTGTCAGAACTTTCAGAGCTGCCCGAAGTAGCCGAATCACTCGAGCCACGGTCGCTCTGCTCGCTCTCCGTTTTCTCCGCCGCGTCCTCCGCCTCCCCCTCCTCATCCTCCTCCTCCGCCGCATCCTTCTTTTTCTTTTTCTTCTCCCCCTTCTTCTTCCCCTTGCCGTTTTTCACGGCGCGATCCCCGGCGTCGCTCAGGTAGAGCTCCTCGTGCCGGTAAACGCGGGGCGCCCACCCGCCGCCGTGAGGCGCGCCGATTTCGCCGCCGGCCGACACGCCTGGCGCGCCGCCATCTTCGTCGCCGAAGCTGCCGCCGCCGACTGCGGGGAGCTCGAAGTCGTCGAGTCGCGGGCCTCTGGCCGCTGGGAGCGCGATTCCCGCGGCCGCATCCTTCTCGGCCTCGTTTTCGCCCTTCTTCGCACGCGTGGTTACCACTCGAGCGACATTGCTTCGCCGAGCGTCATGGAGCCGGAGGAAACCGGGCTGCGAAGCGTGGCGAAGGGGACGCCGAGACGCGAGACGAGGGACGGCGGGAGTTGCGGAGAGGCCTGAAAATGCGGAGACGAGGAGCGTCGCAGGCATCGCGTGCCCACACCGAAACAGCACCGCACGGCGGGAGTTGCTATGGATGTCGACTTTTGAGTCGACTCAAAAGTCCGAGACAACACCGAACCCCTCAGGCGCTGTTGCAGCTGACGTTGCGGTGCTACAAGCTACGGGCGTTGATTTCAAGGCGGACAACGCGGATTAGCACGCTGGGGCGCCGCAAACAGCGTTATGGTAGGTAGGGCGCCGTGGAATTCTAACTGCTGAGTCTCTTGAATCTCACAAGCCTCTTGTTGGAAGGATGTCATATGCAGTGCGGGGTGGTCCCCTGAATGAAGTTCGTTGTGTTGGATCTAGGGGGTATTCGAGAAGCTCGCATTCTGGAATGCGGGTTCTTTGAGTGGAAAGCAATTACGATGCCACAAAGTGCCTGGGCTAATTTGAGGGAAGGCCTAGGCCCATGCCTTTTCGAATACCGTATTTAACCGTTTTTAAAGTGTTCTTGCACTTACGAACAACAATCCGACTCACACAAAGCTTTCCGTAAATGCGTCTCTATTCTGAAGCTTGTAATTGTGTCGAGCCACTCGACCAACGCCTTTTGGTTGCAAGGGCCGAAACAAATGACAACGCAGCAGTGCTGTGGTGGCGCTGACAGCGCAGGTCTGATGTGGTGATTTCTGACGTGTCGAACGCCAATGAGAAGCGGCAAAGCGAGATCTTTATGCACTGCTTGCACGAATTATGTACATCGTGTATATTCGCTTCTCGTTGTCTAAAACGAAAATCTCCTCTCAAGCATGCATGCAAATCCCCTCTCCAGCATATCAACATTATGTGGAAGTGGACTAATGCTAAGCCAATCCCCTCTCCAGCATGCATGCAAATCCCCTCTCCAGCATATCAACAGCAATATAGACGCCTACCATATCAACATTATGTGGAAGTGGACTAATGCTAAGCCAACGAACTAAGGGGAAGCCTGGGGGAGCCCAGGCACAGGTTTTGGTAAGGAAAAACTTCTGACTAGCCGAATGTTGAATCTGACGATTTGTAGGGAGGGACGCCTAAGATGTCCCCTGACTCGGCTAAATAAGCCTTGCGAGATGTCTATTGTTCGGCATCTACTTGAACTCCACCTAAAGACAAGCCGGAGGGCTAATTTTCAATAGCTCAACATCCACTTGAGAGGGAGGCATAACCGTTGGCATTGTCTTTCTCGCAAGATAGGAACACAAACACATACACAATGAAGTATGTGCGGGCACAACGATCTACTAGAAGAGCCCCAGGGCGCGCTTCCTCTGGTCCTGCTTCCACTTGGGCAGCGCATAGAACTTGCTCTTGTCGTACCCGAATATGCGGCGGAAGTCAGCGTCCGACAGGTACGACTGCCGTACAGGAGATGCACCCGGAGGAAGTGGGTCGAATGGGAAGAGGAGTGGGGTGGAAGCAGGGCAAGAGGGAGACAGGGGAGAGGAGGGATTTTTGGAGCGTGTAGAGCTTGCTCTTGTCCTACCCGAATATGCAAGGGAAGTCAGCGTCCGACAGGTGCGACTGCCAGGCAGGAGATGCACCTGGAGGATGGGGGCCGAATGGGAAGAGGAGAGGGGGGGGGGGGGGGGGGGAAGTGGGGGGGGGAGGGGTGGGGGGGCAAGAGGGGGACAGGTGGGAGAAGGGATCTGGGAGCGTGTAGAGCTTGCTCTTGTACCCGAATATGCGACGGAAGTCAGCGTCCGACAGGTGCGAGTGCCAGGCTGGGAATGCCCCAAGACGGCTGAATGGGGTATCAAGGGGAGAGGAAGGGGAGGGGGTGAGGGCGGGGGGGCTGTCAAGCGCGTATTTCACCCCTCCACTGCCTCCTCACTGCTTGCGCCGAGGTGCAAAAAAGGCCCCTCCTCACCCTTAGCCCCTGATTCGCCTCTCTCCTGGCAGTGTCAATCCCTCTGATCAGGTTCCTGCTGCCGACCATGAGCCTGTCAAAAGCGAGCGTCACCCCTTCCACAGCCACCTGATGGTTCAGCTTCTGGTGCCTAACAAGCCCTTCTCATTGCCCCACCCTCCCCTCAACTCACCACTCGCCGTTCAACGTCAATCCCTCGAATTGGATTCCTGCAGTCAACTGTCAGCCTGGCAAACGCCTACGTCACTCCCTCCACTGCCTCCTCACCTGCTTTAGGAGCATCACAAGCCTTTCCCACCCTTTCCCACACCTTCCCACTCCTCCCTATTCACCCTTTGCCCCTGACGCACCTCCCTCCTAGCAGTGTCAATCCCTCGAATCGGGTTCCTGCTGTCAACAATCAGCCTGTCAAACGCGTACGTCGCCCCCTCCACTGCCTCCTCCCCAATTGGTGCACCACTAGCACCACTAGCAGCACCACCACCACCAGCACCAGCACGAGCACCACTCTTCTTCCCGTCAACCTCGTCCTCGCTATTGTCATCCTCGCTACCCCCCTCGGGCACAGAGCCCGAAACCGAGCCTGATTTGGAGAGCTTGAGCGGCTCCACCTCGGAGTGAGGAGCCGTAACCGACGCAGAGTGCGCTGCGAGAGTGGAGAGAAGGGAGAAGGATTAAGGAGGGGTGGGGGGGGGGGGGAGGGCGGGGGAAAGAGAGAGGGATAGTGGGTCCGTTGAGCGTGAGAGCTTTGGGGTCTAACTGAGGAGTGGCGACAGTGAGGAGAGGCGACAGCGAGGAGTGAGGAGCCGTGACCCCATGCCTTCCCTCCCAGCCAGGCCCTTGATCAGGGCGGGCGAGATGGTGCGTCTCCCCCCATCCTCCCACATACCTTTCCCTCTCACTAATCCAGTCCTGGTTCCCCCATTGAGTGAGCCTGTGAGTTGGCTCCAAAAGTCACCTCCAAAAGTCACAATGTCACTCTCCCCCCATCCTCCCACATACCTTTCCCTCTCACTAACCCAGGCCTGCTTCCCCGCTTGAGTGAGCCTGTGAGAGCAGCAGCCATGGCGGCAGCGCGTGGGGTGGAGGGGGGAAGCACCGGAAATGGTCCCTTTGACCCCGTGGTTGCCATCCCAGCAACCACCTGTCCTCCTATGCCCTTCTCCTACCTCCCACTCACTCATTCTCGGCTCCCCCTTGAGCGTCCCGGTGAAAGCAGCCATGGCAGCGGCCCGCTGGGTAAAGGAGGGGGGCGGACCGGGAGACAGGCCCCTCGCCCCCATGCCTGCCCTCCCAGCCAGGCCCTTGATGAGCGCGGGGGAGATGGTGATGGAGGGGGAGGGCTTGGAGTTGGGGGAGGAGACGGGCTGACTGGCTTACCCAACGATCTCCCACTCACCCATTCTGGGCTCCCCCTTGAGCGTCCCTGTCAGAGCAGCCATGGCAGCAGCACGCTGGGTGGAGGGGGACGGACCAGGAGAAAGGCCCGTTGGCCCCACGGCAGTTCTCCCAGCCAGGCCCTTGATGAGCGCAGGGGAGATGGTGAGGGAGAGGGGGGGCTTGGAGTGGGGCGAGTGGGGAGTGGAGGAGGAGTGGGGGGTGGAGGAAGAGGAGGTGGCGGAGGGGGATTGGTGGGAGAGAGCTGCGAGGCGGCGCTTGGCAGTCTGAGGGATAGTGTGGGGAATGGGGAGGGAGGGGTGGAGGGAGATGAGAAGGCAGAGTGGGGGGGATGAGAGAAGCTGAAATGAGCTCCGTAGAGAGAGAAAGTCGTTGTGAGAAGGAAGGTGAGGAGTCTATTATTGAGGCGCCTCGAAAGTCGTTGTGAGAAAGAAGGTGGACGTGTGGAAGGGGGCCTTTGGAAACAGAGGAAGGAGAGGGCGAGAGGGGGTGGGCATGCAAGAATAGATATCTACGAGATGATGGCTAAAATGAGGGCAAATCGATCTAAAATGAGGCCTAAAAACGAGGATTAAACCGAGGGTTAAAACGAGGGCTAAACGGAGTGCCAAAAGGCGGGCTAAAACGAGGGATCTGTTGTAGAAAGAAACAACATCCACCATGATCCATGCATGCATCAAAGCACTCACATCTGAGAGCTCCAGTGCTCTCCCTTGCAGCAGAGCGAGCTTTCGCTCATACGGGTCCGCTAGCGCCTGATGGAGAGAATGAGGGGTAGAGAAAGGTAGAGAAAGGTAGAGAAAGAGGGAAGGAGAGCCGAGGGCTTGTGAGCCGTCTCGTCTGAAGGGCTGTGCCTTGCAGCGCAGAGCCAGCTTGCACTCATACGGATCTGCTAGCGCCTGATCTTTGAGGCGCCTCAAAAATAGACTCCTGTGCCTTGCAGCGCAGAGCCAGCTTGCACTCATATGGATCTGCTAGCGCCTGATGGGGCAAGAGGGTCATGAGATCAGGGAATAAGAGCGAACACGAGAAAGACTCCGATGCTCTGGATGAATCAGATAGATGGACCGAGACTGTGATGCCACAGAAGGGTTGCACCATGCAACAGAGGCAGCTACCACTTGCGAGCGGTCGATTGGTCCCCAGTCGACTGGTTCGACCGGGGGCAGGTGCTCGCGGTCGACTGAGTCTACATAGAAAGGCAATACTTACGCACATACACATGCACAACACACTCAATCAACACACACACATTCACATGCGTTGGCAACACAACCCCGAACCCTACTCAGTGCGCTCGTGGCGTGGTCCTAGTGGTCCAGTGGGAGAAGAAAGGTGATTTTTGAGTCGACTAAAAGATCACCTTTTGAGTTGAGTAAAAAGTCAACCCTGAACCCTATTCACTGCGCCCGTGGCGTGGTCCTAGTGGGGGAAGAAAGCGGAGGAACATGGGAGGCTCATGCCATACCCCACTCTCTGCTGCATGCACAATACCCCACTCTCTGCTGCATGCACAATACCCCTACAACCTACAGCATGGACAAACAACCCGGCACCCTACTCACCGCACTCGTGGCGTGGTAGCAGTAGGGCGCAGGGTTGTTTGTACATGGAAGGCTCGCCGCACTCGTGGCGTGGTAGCAGTAGGGGAAGAGAGCGGTGCACATGGAAGGCTCGTACCCCTTCCACCACCACCCTCACCTTGCACACGGACAGTGCATGCTGCTCAAACCTTACACACAGCTGACTTTTGAGTCGACTCAGAAGTCACCTCGTACCCATCCACCACCCTCACCTTGCACACGGACAGTGCATGCTGCTCAAACCTTACACACAGCTGACTTTTGAGTCGACTCAGAAGTCACCTCGTACCCATCCACCACCCTCACCTTGCACACGGACAGTGCATGCTGCTCAAACCTTACACACAGCTGACTTTTGAGTCGACTCAGAAGTCACCTCGTAGTGGGGGAAGAGAGCGGTGAACATACATGCAGGGCTGGGCTCGTACCCCCCAGCCTTGTAGCGAATACTTGAGCGCACGACACACGCAAGCACACACGACACACGCACGCACACACATTTTAACATCCATGGAAACCCTGAGCCCTACTCACCGCGCTCATGGCGTGGTCCCAGTGGGGGAAGAGAGTGGGGAACATACATGGGGGGCTCACACCCCTCCAGCCTTGCAGAGAATGCTTGTGTGCATGACACATGCACGCACAGTCGCCCATGCACGGACAAACAACCAGAATCCCTACTCACCGCGCTGGCGGCGTGGTCCCAGTGGGGGAAGAGAGCGGTGAACATGGGGGGCTCGTACCCCTCCACCACCCTCACCACCGTGGTGTCTCTGGACCGCCCCTCCGCTGCTGCCACCTGCTCCAGGTAGCGCTGGTGTGAGCACACCAGGGGGGAAGAGGGGTGAGGGGGGGGATGGGTGAGGGAAGTGAGTGGTGAACATGGGGGGCTCATACTCCTCGACCACCCTCACCACCGTGATGTCCCTGGACTGCCCTTCTCCTGCTACCACCTGCTCCAGTTAGCGCTGGTGTGAGCACACCAGGGGGGAGGGGGGTGAGAGGGGGGGGCGGATGAGAGTGGGGAAACAGAGGTGAACATGGGGGGGCTCGTATCCCTCCACCAGTCTAACAACAGTAGTGTCCCGACTCTCAAGGGGCGGTCAAGGGACGCTCCGCCCCTTGAGTGACCGCCCCTTGAGTGAATGTGATGGGGAAGAGTGTGGTGAACGTGAGAGGGAGCTCGCACCCCTCCACTTTACCACCCGCACCACCGTGGTGTCTCTGGTCTGGACCGCCCCTCCGCAGCTGCCACTTGCTCCAGGTGGCGCTGAAAGATGGAGAATACAGAGGGGAGGAGAGGGCTACGTTACGGGCAGTTGGCTAGGGCGTAGGCCCGGCGGAAGGGGGTTCTACATTTGTGTGCCCAGCAGCAGCATCTGCAATCAAGTGTGATAACACAATCGCTGATTGCTATGATTATTGATTGCTGCATCTGCAATCAATTGTGATATCATACCACACAGCACAAATCATGGCATTATGGCCTCACCAGCGGATAGGTGTTTACGTTTCTCCCGGCGGATAGGTGAGTGCCTCCTTTCTCTCCTTGTCCGGCGGATTTACCCGCATCCACACAAGCACCTCCGAATGTGCGCCCACCAGCAACACATCGTCGGATGGATGGAACCTGCTAAAATGAAAACACCCAGGGTCGAACCCTTACCCGCGCATAACTGAGTGCCTCTTTCTTCTCCTTGTCCGGTACGTTGACCCCCGCCCACACAAACACCTCCAAGTGGGCGTCCACCAGCACCGCGGCTCTCTATACCTACAGCTCTCTATTTTGAGTTGACTCAAAAATCACCTACAGCTCTGTACACGGCTCATGATTCATGCCTTACCAGCGCGTAGTCAAGAGCATCCTTCTTCTCCTTGTCCGGCGCGTTGACCCCCGCCCACACGAATACCTCTGTGTGTGCGTCCACCAGCATCACATCCTCGCTAATGAGGTCCTCCTGACTGTAGTTAGGCACCTCCAGCACCTGACAGGGATTCGGATGGACAAGTCAAGGAGCAGGATCCGATCCGAGGGAAGTTTTGAGGCACAGACTCCTATCGAGCAGGATCCGATCCGAGGGAATGGATACAAACAAACAAACAAACAAACTTCAATTCAAACCTAGAATGCATGGGAAAGGCCCCTGGCTGTTAATTATGTGTGGGAGGCATCCCTTGAAGCGCCTTGAAAACGATAGAAAGAAGCGCCTGCAAAGCCTAGTTACATCTCTTCGCTAATCAAGATGCCATCCGATTGCCCTTTGTAGTGCCATGCCATGCATGGTGCTCACCCTTGCACGACTGTCAGCATCTTTCATCATAGTCTCACCTTGAACACATCGGCATCCCTGTGACTTGGTACATTCAACCATTCCTTGCTGCTTCCCTTGCCTCCCTCACCCCACAGTAGCACTCCCCCCTTCTGCTCAAAGCTGAGGCGCCTTAAAGCCCCTCTCTGGTGACTGGGTAGCGGTGAGGTCTCACCTTGAATGCATTGGCAGTCCCTGTGACTTGGTACATGCGGCCGTCCCTTGCTACTTCCTTCCCCTCCCTCGCTGCAGGGTACTCCCCTCTGCTGCCCACGTGCTGCCAAAACACCGACGTCTCCTTGCCCTCTGCCACCTGCTTCACCAACGCTCCAGGCTGCAGAAACAGGGGAAGGGAGTGGCGGACGGGGGGTATGATCGTGGGTTAGAAGGTGTCCGACCACTGACGTCTCCTTGCCCTCTGCCACCTGCTTCACCAGCGCTCCAGGCTGCAGTGTTGGCATGGAGAGGCAGGGGAAGGCAGGGGAAGGCAGGGGAAGGCAGGGGAAGGTACGGGAAGGTAGGGGAAGGTAGGGGAAGGCAGGGGAAGGTAGGGGAAGGTAGGGGAAGGTAGGGGAAGGTAGGGGAAGGTAGGGGAAGGTAGGGAAAGGTAGGGGAAGGCAGGGGAAGGCAGGGGAAGGTAGGGGAAGGTAGGGGAAGGTAGGGGAAGGTAGGGGAAGGCAGGGGAAGGTAGGGGAAGGTAGGGGAAGGTAGGGGAAGGTAGGGGAAGGTAGGGGAAGGCAGGGGAAGGCAGGGGAAGGCAGGGGAAGGTAGGGGAAGGTAGGGGAAGGCAGGGGAAGGTAGGGGAAGGTAGGGGAAGGTAGGGGAAGGTAGGGGACGGAATGCAGGGAGCAGCATTAGGGAGTTGTCAGCGCTCCAGGCTGCAGCGCCAGCAACGAGGGGAAGGGCGGAGGGGTAGAAGGGCGGTGTTGGTGTTGCTTAAAACCACAACTGCTGCCAACCAGGCAGCTATTACAACTTTGAAAAGAGGTGCGTCAAGACTGAAACTAAGTAGCAGCAGCAGCGGCGGCATCCTTGCCAGCCTCCCTGCTACTGTTGCCAGTACCTTGAGGAGTGACCACACCCAGCACCTTGAGGAGTGACCACACCCAGTACCTTGATGATTTCAGCAGCAGCAGCAGCCGCATCCTTGTCAGCCGCACTGCTGCCATTGCCAAGCCACAGAAACGAGCTAGTGGGCGTCTGCAGCACAAAACAGTCCTCAGAGTTGAGCCACTTGGCCACCGGATCCATCTGAACCGCTTTGAACAACCCCGCACCGCTCCCTCCAGTGGACGCCGCCCCCCGGGCGCGCACGCGGAACAGAGCCACGCCTGCCGGGTCGTACGTGTTGTCAGCGGCGGTGGCGTCCGCCTTGTAGCTCGCACTGTTGCCACCCTGATGGGTTTGAAAGGGGTAAGTGGATAGACAAGCAGTCCTCGGAGTTGAGGGACTTGGCCACCAGATCCATCTGATCCGCCTTGACTTGGACAGCCCCGCACTGGCCCCTCCAGTAGAGGCTGCCCCTCCAAAAGACATCTCCCCCGCAGTAAAATTCCCCCCCAAGCGCGCACGCGGAACAGAGCCACGCCTGCTGGGTCATACATGTCGTCAGTGGTGGCGTGCGCCTTGTAGCTCGCGCTTTTGCCGCCCTGAGGGGTGTGGGAGAGGTGTGCGGGTCGGGTAGCAAGGTACAGGGAATGTAAAGGGCTCGAGAGCCACGCCTGCTGGGTCATACGTGCACCACCTTGGGCGGTGACGTGCGCCTTGTGGCGAGCACTGCTGCCGCCCTGAGCGGTCTGAGAGGAACTTTAGGAGCAGGGGAGCGATTTTTGAGAATTCTAAAAAAAACTCTCATTAGGAGCAGGGGAGCGTTGCGAGGTTAGGTGGCAGTGGCAAGAGCGGGGTAGAGAGCGAGGGTGGACGAGGTGAGAATATTGAGCCTTGGGATATAGAAGGCGGACAAGACAAGCCATTGACCGTTATGCTGACTGGGGACTTACCTCAATGGCTTGTCTTGTCCGCCTCAATGAGGAAGCGTTTCTGCTTTTCAAAGAGTGCTTGTTTCTGCCTCAGGCATGTACAACTCAGCAGGCGACTGTTTCGGCATGGGGACTGTTTCTGCCTCAGGCATGGGGGCTGTTTCTGGCTCAGAGGCCACTCAAATAGAGTCTGTCACGAGTGGCTTCTGCTATGCTCACTGAAAGGTACCTTGAGGAAAAAGAGGTTGGTCTTGAACAGGGAAATGAGCTGCTCGGGTTCCTTCCCCTGCACTACTCGCACCTGGCACGGGGGCGGGCCAAGACGAGGCACCAAGTGAGGGTGGGGTGGGTGGAGGGATGGGGGAACGAGGTGGAGAGTTATGGAAGCAAGGTACAGAAGAACGCAAGGAAAGTGAGGAGGAAAGTGAGAAAGGAGGAGGGGTGTGGAAAGAGGGGAGGAGGGGTGTGGGAAAGAGATGAGTAAGGTGGTCAACGAAGCAACAAGTGAGTGGCTAGCTTGGAACTTGGAGGTGCCACAAGATGGCGTCATACCAGAGTGGCGTTTCCCCTGAGGGCGTCTGCTGCCCGTGTGGCTGCAGCCAGTGCTGACGTCCTCTCCTCCTGGGTGCTGTCCCGGCCGACCCACAGAAAGACCACATATTCGTACTTGCGGTCGCGCGTGAACGTGTACTGTATGATGTAGCAGTCGCCGCTGTGGAACCGCCCCACCTCCTCTGCTGGCACAGCTGTCTTGTTACTGCCGTTCAGCCGCCACACCTGACGTGTTGGGAAGGGGGGTTAGGTTCGGAAGGGTTTCAGGTTGAGAGGAAGTCGATTACTCATACTTGCAGTTGCGCGTGAACGTGTGCTGTATGATGTAGCAGTCTCCGCTGTGGAACCGTCCCACCTCCTCTGCTGACAGGCACAGCTGTCTTGTTACTGCCACTCAGCCGCCACACTTGACGTGTTGAGAAGGGGGTTCAGAGAAGAGTTTCAGGTTAAGAGGAGGTCGATACACCTGTCGTGCTTGCGATCGCCAGTGAACGTATGCTGTATAATGTGGCATTCACCGCTGTGGAACCGTCCCGCCTCCTCTGCTGGTACAGCTGTCTTGTTCCTGCCATTCAGCCGCCACACCTGACGTGTTGGGAACAGGGGGGTTCGTTTCGGATGGGAGGAAGATGGCGTACTCGTACTTGCGGTCACGGGTGAGCTGCAAGTACTGTACAATCATCTCCACTAGGCACAGGCAGAGGGACAGGCCGGAGATGGGCCGGCCAGTCCCAGCAGTCGGGCTCGGACCTCACGTTGGCCCCGGCCCGGCCCTAGTCGATGGGCGTCGCCCGGCCCATGGCCCGGCCTGTTCGCCAACGAGGTGACTTTTTAATCGACTCAAAAGTCACCTAGTCCATGGGCGTGGGCCGGCCCATGGCCCGGCCTGTTCGCCAACGCCCTCGATGAGGGGCCGAGACGAGCCAGCGGGCCAGGTGGCCCGTCGACGGGCCGCAAAAGTTCCAACCACGAGGTCGAATTTTCAACCCCCAAACTCATTTCGCCAAACCCCAAGCTGTTCCCCCCCCCCCTTCGCGTCACCCCGTGAATGCCTTCTCTCCTCACCTTCATCTCCCCGGCGACATCCGCCAGGGGAGGTGGTGGTGCCTCGGCTGCTGCTGCTGCTCCTGACGACCCCCTTGCTACAGCCTTATCCACCATGCCTGATTGCCGCAGCATAGCTGGGGGAAGTGAGAGGGAAGGAGGGAGAGAACAGAAGGGGGGGAGGGGGGAGGAAAAAGAATGTCAGGTTATGAGGCACTCTACAACTACAACTGGTGCTGCTGCTGCTGCTGCTTCTGCTTCTGCTGCTGCTTCTGCTTCTGCTTCTGCTTCTGCTTCTGCTTCTGCTTCTGCTTCTGCTTCTGCTTCTGCTGCTGCTGCTGCTGCTGCTGCTGCTGCTGCTTCTGCTTCTGTGCCTGCCTGTGCCGCCCTCCCTACGGCCCTGCCCACCATTCTAGAATCCTAGAAACCAGCTTCTGTGTGACATGACGCACCACAACACAGGCAACTGTAGTAAGAGAGAATCTGAGACACGTCCTCTCGAGCGGTCCATGTACTGAAGCCTGAGTACAGCTAGGCATGAGTGGAGAAACTTTTGAGTCGACTCAAAAGTCATCTCGTTACAATGTCACACGGGTCATTTCATTCAAGGAGAGCTATAATTGCGTGGAGGCTTCCGAAGCGAGTTGGAAATTTTTTAATTTCTGCTCATAAGAGTTAGACTACGGTAGCTTTTAGTTTGTGGTCCATGTACTGAAGCCTGAGTACAACTAGGCATGAGTGGAGAATCTGAGACCTGTTTGAGGCACGTCCACTCCCTCTCTTCTAACCTAACAGAGGCTTGCTCACCCCTCCCTCTCCCCCCACCCACCGCCCCTCTCAGGGGCAAGCAGCTACTCTGCTAAGGCAGCCTAAAACGCAGCAACCTCTAATCCCTTACATCCTACCCTCTCCTCACCTCATCCTCCTCCCCTTCTGCCTTTGAGCTTGCTCGCCCCTCCCTCTCCTCCGCCCACCACAGGGGCAAGCAGCCACTCCGCAAAGGCAGCCTTGAAGGCAGCAGTCTCCCCCCTCTCGTTCCCCTCCCTTCCCTCCTACCCTCAAGCCAGTCGTACCTTTGAGCTTGCTCGCCCCACCCTCCCCGCCGCCCATCACCGGGGCAAGCGGCCACTCCGCAAAGGCAGCCTTGAAAGCAGCGGTCTCGGCCCTCTCGCTCATTCGAGTGACTTGCACACAGGGGGGCTTGCTGGCTGACGACAGATACGCCTGGGGAGAGGGGAAAGAGCGGGCAGGCCAGAAGCAGGAGTAAGTGGGCCTTGAACGCAGCAGTCTCCCCAATCTCGCTCATGCAGGTGACTGGCAGGCACTGACGGAGGATGATAGATACGCCTGAGAAAGGTGCTGGGGACGGGAGGAAAAGAGAGAGGGGCTGGGGTGAAAAAGCGGTGTCCTGAAGCAAGTTTAAGGTAGAGAGTGCTTCAGAGTGCAACTTGCTGCATCCAGTAAAACCATGTCAATGCCAAGCGCATCCACCAAACCCATTCCCATCTGCATTCCATCCAGCCCCATATGCAACTCCGCAGCCTGCACAGGACCCACAGAGTCAACCCTCACAGGAATCTTTTTGAGGCGCCTCAATAAAACTTCCCAGCCTGCACAGGATCCAGAGAGTCAACCCCCACAGGAATCTCACCTCTGCAGCAACACAAGCAGCCCGTTTGTCAGGAACGGTGGCGATCTTCCCGAACCACACGAAGAGGCTCGGGCCCGTGTCAAGCAGGTAGCACTTGCCGCCCTCCAGCATGTTCTTCTTGAGTGGCGCCTTGGCTTGCTCCTGCAGCCCGCTGGCAGTGACTCTGAGAAGAAAGGGAAAGCAGCAAGAGTCTACTTGTGAGGCGCCTCAAGAATAGACTCCTCACGCTGGCAGTGACTCTGAGAAGAAAGGGAAAGCAGCAAGAGTCTACTTGTGAGGCGCCTCAAAAATAGACTCCTCACGCTGGCAGTGACTCTGAGAAGAAAGGGAGCAAGGAGAGAAAAGGTAGTACGTCAAGTCAAGCACGTAGCACTTCCTGCCCTCCAGCATGCTTTTCAAGTGGCGCCTTTGCTTGCTCCTGCAGCCCGCCGGCAGTGACTCTGGGAGAAGGGAAAGCAGCGACAGGAAGGAAAGGCGCCTGCTTTTCAGCATCAAGTCAAGCAGTGAAGGATCCCTCTAGCACGTGGATGGATGCCTCCAGCACGCTCTTTCTCAGCGACGCCTTAGCTAAGTTGGCTTGCTCCTCCTGCAGGCCGCTGGAAGTGACTCTGAGAGAAGGAAAAGCAACGAGCGGAAAGCCACCAAAAACACATGAACCACACACACACACTCACACACACACACACTCACACAGACGCTCACACACTCACACACACACACACACACTCACACAAACACTCACACACTCACACACACACACACTCACACACTCACACACACACTCACACACTCACACACACACACACACTCACACACACACACACACTCACACACACACACTCACACACTCACACACACACACACACTCACACACTCACACACTCACACACACACACACACACTCACACACACACACACTCACACACACACACACACTCACACACACACACACTCACACACACACACTCACACACACACTCACACACACCTGCTTCACCCTGCCACTCACAGGTGGAGCGAGGGCGGCACAGGCTTGGCCTCCACCACCACGTCGTCGTCGCTCGCGCTCTTCTTGGCGATGGGAGCAAATCCTCCACACACAACTAGCTACACACGCGCGCACACACACATGCGCTTTCCCCGAATGACTCACAGGTACAGGGTCGGTGGCACGGCCTTGGCCTCCACATCATCTTCGCTCGCCCCCTTCTTGGCGATGGGCGCAAAGCCGCCAAACAGGTCCCAGAACTCGCTGGAGCTCGCATCGTCCGCCTTGCCGTCGTCTGGATTGAGGTGCGGGGGGGTTGGGGTGGGGGGGTACGCCTCATTAAGTCCTTCCCAGAACAGCTTTAACAGCTATAACTAGGTGGCAAGAAGGCGCCTATGGCAGCTGCTGCAGGTGCAGAGGCCCACCGATAGAAGCAGAGAGGCTTACCAATAACAGCAACGGGCATGCTGCCATTGGGAGACTGCTGCTTGAGCAGCAGGGTGGCGTCTGTGGCTCGAACGCGGTCCTGCTTGGAGCAGTTGGCTGCGTTGAACTGGAAGAGCTTGGTGGGCGCGTGCAGCACAAACACGTCCGAGTGGTTGAGGGAGGAACGGGCGAAGGGCACCTGGGAGGGGCAAAGAAGGGAGGCATGATGAACTGCTTAGTTCACTCAGAAGTTGGCTGCCGACTGCCTGAAACAGAAGTTGGCTGCGTTGAACTGGAAAAGCTTGGCGGGCGCGTGCAGCACAAACACGTTCGAGTGGTTGAGCGAGGAGCGCGCAAAGGGCACCTGGGATGGGCAGAAAGGGAAAGGGTGAACTGTTGAATTGACTCAGTCAAGAGCTTGGTGGACGCATGCAGTACGAATACGTCCAAGTCGTTGCGAGAGGTGCAAGCAAAGGGCACCTGCACGTGGAGAAAAGATTGCAGAGGGGACGCAGAGAAAAGATTGCAATTGATTTGAGTCATAGCTGGAGTAGCTTGCTGGCCTGCATTGACCTAATTCGTTGTGAAATAGGAATAAACAGCGGCGACTCGTCGTGCCCCTTCATCGACTTGCCCATATTTTTTAGGCGCCTAAACAATCCTAAAAAATCGTCTATTTTTTAGGTGCCTAAAAAATCCTCAAAAATCGTCTATTTTTTAGGCGCCTCAAAAATCCTCAAAAATCGTCTATTTTTGAGGCGCCTCAAAAATAGGCTCCTCACGTCGTGCCCCTTCATCGAGTTGCCACTGCCGATCATAAGCCCCTCCTCACCTCCCTTTTCCCCCTCCCCCCCCTCCTTCCCCTCCCTCCTTCTCCCCGTCCCCCAATGCCAACCCTCGCCTCTCACCTGACTGATATGCAGGAAGCGCCGCCCCTTCACTTGGTACAAGCTGGTCTCAGCACTAGGCTAAGAGCATCCGCCTGGCCCGTTTCACCAGCAACCGGGATGACTGGGGGAGGGAAAAGCATCCCCACCGGGCGGAAGTAGGGTAGGAAAATCGGCGACTCGTGGCCCATCCCCACCTCCCTTCCCCTCCCCTCCCTCCCTTCCCCTCCCCTCCCTCCCTTCCCCTCCTGCCCTGATGCCAACCCTCCCCTCTCACCTGTCTGACGTGCAGGAAGCGCCGCCCCTTGACCTGGTACAGACTAGGTTCCCCAGTCCAAGCATCCGCCTGGCCCTTTTCCCCCACGCGGGGGATGATGCACGGGCGGAAGTAGGAGAGGAACAGCGGCGACTCGTGGCCCATCCCCACCTCCCTTCCCCTCCCCTCCCTCCCTTCCCCTCCCCTCCCTCCCTTCCCCACCTGCGCTAATGCTAACCCTGCCCCATCCCCGCCTCCCTTCCTCTCCCGCCCTGATGCCAACCCTCCCCTCTCACCTGTCTGACGTGCAGGAAGCGCCGCCCCTTGACCTGGTACAGACTAGGCTCGGCCGAAGCAGGGTCCGCCTGGCCCTTTTCCCCCGCCACGGGGATGATGCACGGGCGGAAGTAGGAGAGGAACAGCGGCGACTCGTGCCCCTGCCGCTCCCGGTGCTGCGTTGACTTGCCGCCCACGGCAATATCTAGGTCCAGCGCCTTCAGCGCCGCCCGGGCTGCGTCCTCCGGGGTGGTTCCCTTGCCCAGCCAGTAGTGCACAGCGTGGGCGACGCCGCCTGCTGCCTTGCTGCCTGACGTCTGGGGGTGGGAGGAGGAAGGAGGAGGATGGGGAAAGAGAGACACGAGAGGCCGCGGCAATATCTAGGTCCAGCGCCTTCAGTGCCGCTCGGGAGGTGTCATCTGGGGTGGTTCCCATCCCCAGCCAGTAGTGCTCGGCGTGGGTGACGCCGCCTGCTGCCTTGCTGCCTGAGGTCTGGGGGTGGGGGGAGGGCGGAGGATGGGGAAAGAGAGAGCCATGAGACCGCGGAAAAATCTAGGTTCAGCGCCTTCACTGCTGCGCAGGCCGCGTCCTCGGGGGTGGTTCAATGGCGAGCCAGTAGTGCACGGCGTGGGTGACGCCGCCTGATACCTCGCTGCCTTAGGTCTGGGGGTGGGGGGAGGAAGGAGGAGGATGGGGAAAGAGATAGACATGAGAGGCCGCGGCAATCTCTAGGTCCAGCGCCTTCAGTGCCGCCCAGGCCGTGTCCTCCGGGGTGGTTCCCTTCCCCAGCCAGTAGTGCACTGCGTGGGTGACATGACACCACCCGCTGCCTTGCTGCCTGACGTCTGGGGGTGGGAGGAAGAAGGAGGAGGATGGGGAAAGAGATAAGAAATGAAACCGCGGCAATGTCTAGGTCCAGCGCCTTCAGCGCCACACGGGCCGCGTCCTCCAGGGTGGTTCCCTTGCCCGGCCAGTTTGCACTGCGTGGGTGACGCCACGTCACGCCTTACTGCATGACGTCTGGGGGTGGGCAGGCAGGCGTTGAGAGAAGGGAAAGACGGAGGGTATGAGAGAGACATAGAGCTGGAAATCAAAGCCTGATAACGCACCGTGAGTACAATGTAGATGCCTCGATTCTAGAACGGCCATGGTCGGCTTTGGAAACAGGGAGGGACCACTTAGCCCTAGACGCCTTCTAACGAATCTAGAGCAGATTGTACGAGCCGTGTAACGCACCTTGAGCACAATGTAGATGTCACGGGTGTAGAAGTTGCCGTGCTCGGCCTTGGTAACAGGGTCTACTTAGCCTTAGACATCTTGTAACGAATCTATGACAAAAGTATGGAAAATATTTTCGCACCTTGAGCACAATGTAGATGTCTCGGGTGTAGAATTTGCCATGGTCGGCCTTGGGAACAGGGACCACTCCGTCCTGCTCCAATCGCCACACCTCCAACCCCCTGAAAGCACGGAACAGCCACGTCAGCACGTCAGAACGATCCGGAGGGGTTGTACCATTCGTAGCAGGCATGCAAGATATGGCAGTCGCAGGGCGACGATTGACCTTTACCGGCCGATTGCCAATGGAAGCACCAGTCGGAGCGCCGGTCGCAGTGATCATGTTAGGCAGACTAGTGTCAATGTCCGCGTTCTAAGGCGATGATAGCGTCTTAACACAGGAAGCATGCCAGCATTGGTTTATACTAATCAAACAGCCACTACATTGCGAGCTTCTGGAAATTAGCCAGACAAACCGAGTTACTGAGAAAATCTGTTACATCAGAAATTGCCTGATGGCGATTTCAGCGCGGCTACGCGCCACAAGAGAGTTGTTATTATTGAGTCGACTCAAAAATCACCTTTAAATGACCTGGAAAAGTAAGCACTAAGCACGCGAAAATAAGCGCTACGATTCCAGCACTTGGGTAAGTGGCGGTATGGACGGGAGGAACGGACAATTAAAGGATGTTCATATTAGAGTAACTGGGGAAGAGAGCCAGGGAGTCCAGCAGAGCGAGGCTTACGGTTTATGGCTGAGCCCGTGAAATGCGGGGTCCACATCTTTGGCCGTCATGGCCACGCGTCCAACCACTGGCAGTAACGGAGCGGCTTATCCCGAAGTACCAAGTAGGTGAGCTGGCAACAGCTCTAGGGCTTTCGACCCGAACCTAGGGTTCACTTCAAGATAACCGAGTTTCAGGAACTTCAGGGTTTGCGCCGAGCGCGGGGAACCTAAAGGGTGGACAGTAACTAAACGTCAGGCTGAAACAGGCTGAAATACAACACCTAACCAGCCTGAAGTAAACACCTAATCAGCCTCAACTAAATGCCCAGTAACCAGCCTTGAGACTGCCGCCAACTGAAGCTGGTCGGATTGTCTTGCTCTCTACCTTGCAAGACAGGTCACTGTCGTGCTGGGAGGGGTGCTAGCCAACTTAAGGCGTGTTTAAATTTGCGTGAAATACTGGCCTATGAAGTTTGTACCGACTCTCTGTTCCGCTCAACAATATCTTGTTCCCTTTTTTTCGTCCCAGCCAAGCGACAGTACATGTCGAATTGTGGGTCTGTGAGCAAGCTTCAATTTTACTTGATCCAGGTTCCCGCCAGGTTCAGACCCGACTATAACGGGAACCGATTTTGCAATTACGACCTTGTCGCTAATGGGGGGCGAGTTCATGAGCTCGGATGGCTGCTTCCTGGGGCGCTCTGCGAAGCAAAACATGCCACGAAAGCCTCGATTCACGAACGTGGCTCCAGAAGAGAGCGGAATGACGGTACAGCACTTTTAAAACATACAGGCACCAATATGTAATCACTAGCTCTACAGCAAAGTGTAAAACAACTGCCTTTCTAAAATGTATGCTCCTACTCGGCCCTTGTTGCACCCATCCCTGTTTACAGAACTGGCAGTAAGTGTTTCTGAAAGCAACGCCAGTCATACTCCACTTGGCGAGAGTAACTCAAAGCCACCTCCCAGACAAGTTCCTCAAACTCATTCTTTGCCGCTGCCTTCGATAACAGCACGAGCTCTTGGCACAACGCTGGCCGTTGATCCACAGCGGGGTCGGGATCTAGCAGGCTAGCAGCGGCAGCATGCTGCGCTGCGAGAATACGTGCCCAGTCCTCTGCCAACTCCACTAATCCATCCTGTGTGCGTGGAGAAGGAAGCAGCGGGGTCAAAGAGATGAACAACGCACAAAAGAACTCAAGCGTGCAGCTATGCCAATACAGGGATCAACGAATTAGCCGCTACAACGTGTGATTGTAACCAGCAAGGTGACGGTTACCTGGTTGACAGTGTTCACCTGAGTGGTGAGTGCGAATCCTTTGAGCTTTGATTTGACGTCCGCTGACACAGCTGCCGGGTACTCATCCTCATACGGCGACACGTCTCGAACGGAATACCGGCCCGTGGCACTCGGGTGCACGCCCTCCTGCTCACCCCACCCAAAGGGGGGCACAACACAGCCCGAAGGGGGAAAAGGTGTTACTTGAAGTACGGCCCCTCCTCCAGACAATCTCAACTGGCAGCTTCTTCAGCAGCAGGCCACGTCACGTCCCTGTCCATCTCACTTCCACACACCCACTCCCTTTTTTCACCTGCAGCGCCACCCACCCAGTGCTGTTGCCGTGCGAAGAACAGAGGGCCCCCATCCCACTTCCACACACCCACACTCTTTTCACCTGCAGCTCGATCCACCCAATGCTGCCATCGTCCGAGGAGCAGAGGGCAGCGCTGGCCTCCAGGAAGCGGTCGGTCTCGTGGGGGAAGCGGTGGCGGTAGGCGCGGCGCTCGTCTGGGTTCATGAAGTGGTAAGCCGTGGGGCGCTGCTGCATGCGCACGTCCAGCACGTGCAGCTCCCCGCTGCTCGTCTCGGTCTGGTGGAGCGGGAAACAGGTGCGAACAGGAAGCAGTTCAGACTCAAATTAGGCCGTGATGTGCTGCTGCATGCGCACGTCCACCACATGCAACTCCCCGCTGCTCGTCTCGGTCTGGTGAAGGGTTAGGAGGTGGGATGAGATGCAAAGGGGTGGTATGAGATGCAGGAGTAAGGGGGGATAGTGTTCTCCGCACTTGTCTGAATACATGAAGTGGTCGGCCGCGGGGCACTGCTGCATGCAGAGATCCCGGACACTCGGTTTCCCACTGATTGTCTCAGTCTGGGGTCAAAGGGTGGGGAGGTGTGCACAGAGGGTACAAGAAGCAGCAGACTGGGGGTTGCTGCGTCATGCAAACATGTGGCAGTGAATACGTTTCTCGATACGTACCCGGCCATGTTGCACGCAAAGCAATTGTTACCTACCAGCGCCATGTATCTGGGCACGCCGCATCAGGCGGGGCCGGCATAGAGCCTGCGAGTGAGCCCCTTGACGTTGACCCCGTCGGCATACGGCTCAGCCATGATTAAGTAAATAGTTGAGTACGAGACCAGAGATACGCACCAGGGCCATGTATCTGGGCACGCCGCATGAGGCGGGGTCGGCGTAGAGCCTGCGCGTGAGCCCCTTGACGTTGACCCCGTCTGCATACGACGCCAGCGCGCTGATCACTGCGTCCTCCTCGAACTTGGGGCACGGCTGCAGCTTCTCAGGCTGCTCCTGGAACGCCCACTTCCCGCCCTCCTCCACACACCTGATAATGAAAAAATTGGGGGCAGAGGGTGGGATGGGATGCACGGTGAGAGCACGGTGAGATGGGTGGGATGGGATGCACGGTGAGAGCACGGTGAGATGGGTGGGATGGGATGCACGGTGAGAGCACGGTGAGATGGGTGGGATGGGATGCACGGTGAGAGCACGGTGAGATGGGTGGGATGGGATGCACGGTGAGAGCACGGTGAGATGGGTGGGCTGGGATGCACGGTGAGAGCACGGTGAGATGGGTGGGATGGGTTGCACGGTGAGAGCACGGTGAGATGGGTGGGATGGGATGCACGGTGAGAGCACGGTGAGATGGGTGGAATGGGATGCACGGTGAGAGCACGGTGAGATGGGTGGGATGGGATGCACGGTGAGAGCACGGTGAGATGGGTGGGATGGGATGCACGGTGAGAGCACGGTGAGATGGGTGGGATGGGTTGCACGGTGAGAGCACGGTGAGATGGGTGGGATGGGATGCACGGTGAGAGCACGGTGAGATGGGTGGGATGGGTTGCACGGTGAGAGCACGGTGAGATGGGTGGGATGGGATGCACGGTGAGAGCACGGTGAGATGGGTGGGATGGGATGCACGGTGAGAGCACGGTGAGATGGGTGGGATGGGATGCACGGTGAGAGCACGGTGAGATGGGTGGGATGGGATGCACGGTGAGAGCACGGTGAGATGGGTGGGATGGGATGCACGGTGAGAGCACGGTGAGATGGGTGGGATGGGTTGCACGGTGAGAGCACGGTGAGATGGGTGGGATGGGTTGCACGGTGAGAGCACGGTGAGATGGGTGGGATGGGATGCACGGTGAGAGCACGGTGAGATGGGTGGGATGGGATGCACGGTGAGAGCACGGTGAGATGGGTGGGATGGGTTGCACGGTGAGAGCACGGTGAGATGGGTGGGATGGGTTGCACGGTGAGAGCACGGTGAGATGGGTGGGATGGGATGCACGGTGAGAGCACGGTGAGATGGGTGGGATGGGATGCACGGTGAGAGCACGGTGAGATGGGTGGGATGGGTTGCACGGTGAGAGCACGGTGAGATGGGTGGGATGGGATGCACGGTGAGAGCACGGTGAGATGGGTGGGATGGGATGCACGGTGAGAGCACGGTGAGATGGGTGGGATGGGTTGCACGGTGAGAGCACGGTGAGATGGGTGGATGGGATGCACGGTGAGAGCACGGTGAGATGGGTGGGATGGGTTGCACGGTGAGAGCACGGTGAGATGGGTGGGATGGGATGCACGGTGAGAGCACGGTGAGATGGGTGGGATGGGATGCACGGTGAGAGCACGGTGAGATGGGTGGGATGGGATGCACGGTGAGAGCACGGTGAGATGGGTGGGATGGGATGCACGGTGAGATGGGTGGGATGGGTTGCACGGTGAGAGCACGGTGAGATGGGTGGGATGGGATGCACGGTGAGAGCACGGTGAGATGGGTGGGATGGGATGCACGGTGAGAGCACGGTGAGATGGGTGGGATGGGATGCACGGTAAGAGCACGGTGAGATGGGTGGGATAGGTTGCACGGTGAGAGCACGGTGAGATGGGTGGGATGGGTTGCACGGTGAGAGCACGGTGAGATGGGTGGGATGGGATGCACGGTGAGAGCACGGTGAGATGGGTGGGATGGGATGCACGGTGAGAGCACGGTGAGATGGGTGGGATGGGATGCACGGTGAGAGCACGGTGAGATGGGTGGGATGGGTTGCACGGTGAGAGCACGGTGAGATGGGTGGGATGGGATGCACGGTGAGAGCACGGTGAGATGGGTGGGATGGGATGCACGGTGAGAGCACGGTGAGATGGGTGGGATGGGTTGCACGGTGAGAGCACGGTGAGATGGGTGGGATGGGTTGCACGGTGAGAGCACGGTGAGATGGGTGGGATGGGTTGCACGGTGAGAGCACGGTGAGATGGGTGGGATGGGTTGCACGGTGAGAGCACGGTGAGATGGGTGGGATGGGTTGCACGGTGAGAGCACGGTGAGATGGGTGGGATGGGATGCACGGTGAGAGCACGGTGAGATGGGTGGGATGGGTTGCACGGTGAGAGCACGGTGAGATGGGTGGGATGGGTTGCACGGTGAGAGCACGGTGAGATGGGTGGGATGGGATGCACGGTGAGAGCACGGTGAGATGGGTGGGATGGGATGCACGGTGAGAGCACGGTGAGATGGGTGGGATGGGTTGCACGGTGAGAGCACGGTGAGATGGGTGGGATGGGATGCACGGTGAGAGCACGGTGAGATGGGTGGGATGGGATGCACGGTGAGAGCACGGTGAGATGGGTGGGATGGGTTGCACGGTGAGAGCACGGTGAGATGGGTGGGATGGGATGCACGGTGAGAGCACGGTGAGATGGGTGGGATGGGATGCACGGTGAGAGCACGGTGAGATGGGTGGGATGGGATGCACGGTGAGAGCACGGTGAGATGGGTGGGATGGGATGCAGGGTGAGAGCACGGTGAGATGGGTGGGATGGGATGCACGGTGAGAGCACGGTGAGATGGGTGGGATGGGATGCACGGTGAGAGCACGGTGAGATGGGTGGGATGGGTTGCACGGTGAGAGCACGGTGAGATGGGTGGGATGGGTTGCACGGTGAGAGCACGGTGAGATGGGTGGGATGGGTTGCACGGTGAGAGCACGGTGAGATGGGTGGGATGGGTTGCACGGTGAGAGCACGGTGAGATGGGTGGGATGGGTTGCACGGTGAGAGCACGGTGAGATGGGTGGGATGGGATGCACGGTGAGAGCACGGTGAGATGGGTGGGATGGGATGCACGGTGAGAGCACGGTGAGATGGGTGGGATGGGTTGCACGGTGAGAGCACGGTGAGATGGGTGGGATGGGTTGCACGGTGAGAGCACGGTGAGATGGGTGGGATGGGATGCACGGTGAGAGCACGGTGAGATGGGTGGGATGGGATGCACGGTGAGAGCACGGTGAGATGGGTGGGATGGGTTGCACGGTGAGAGCACGGTGAGATGGGTGGGATGGGATGCACGGTGAGAGCACGGTGAGATGGGTGGGATGGGATGCACGGTGAGAGCACGGTGAGATGGGTGGGATGGGATGCACGGTGAGAGCACGGTGAGATGGGTGGGATGGGATGCACGGTGAGAGCACGGTGAGATGGGTGGGATGGGATGCACGGTGAGAGCACGGTGAGATGGGTGGGATGGGATGCACGGTGAGAGCACGGTGAGATGGGTGGGATGGGATGCACGGTGAGAGCACGGTGAGATGGGTGGGCTGGGATGCACGGTGAGAGCACGGTGAGATGGGTGGGATGGGATGCACGGTGAGAGCACGGTGAGATGGGTGGGATGGGATGCACGGTGAGAGCACGGTGAGATGGGTGGGATGGGATGCACGGTGAGAGCACGGTGAGATGGGTGGGATGGGTTGCACGGTGAGAGCACGGTGAGATGGGTGGGATGGGTTGCACGGTGAGAGCACGGTGAGACGGGTGGGATGGGATGCACGGTGAGAGCACGGTGAGATGGGTGGGATGGGATGCACGGTGAGAGCACGGTGAGATGGGTGGGATGGGATGCACGGTGAGAGCACGGTGAGATGGGTGGGATGGGATGCACGGTGAGAGCACGGTGAGATGGGTGGGATGGGATGCACGGTGAGAGCACGGTGAGATGGGTGGGATGGGATGCACGGTGAGAGCACGGTGAGATGGGTGGGATGGGATGCACGGTGAGAGCACGGTGAGATGGGTGGGATGGGATGCACGGTGAGAGCACGGTGAGATGGGTGGGATGGGTTGCACGGTGAGAGCACGGTGAGATGGGTGGGATGGGATGCACGGTGAGAGCACGGTGAGATGGGTGGGATGGGATGCACGGTGAGAGCACGGTGAGATGGGTGGGATGGGTTGCACGGTGAGAGCACGGTGAGATGGGTGGGATGGGTTGCACGGTGAGAGCACGGTGAGATGGGTGGGATGGGTTGCACGGTGAGAGCACGGTGAGATGGGTGGGATGGGTTGCACGGTGAGAGCACGGTGAGATGGGTGGGATGGGATGCACGGTGAGAGCACGGTGAGATGGGTGGGATGGGATGCACGGTGAGAGCACGGTGAGATGGGTGGGATGGGTTGCACGGTGAGAGCACGGTGAGATGGGTGGGATGGGTTGCACGGTGAGAGCACGGTGAGATGGGTGGGATGGGATGCACGGTGAGAGCACGGTGAGATGGGTGGGATGGGATGCACGGTGAGAGCACGGTGAGATGGGTGGGATGGGTTGCACGGTGAGAGCACGGTGAGATGGGTGGGATGGGATGCACGGTGAGAGCACGGTGAGATGGGTGGGATGGGATGCACGGTGAGAGCACGGTGAGATGGGTGGGATGGGTTGCACGGTGAGAGCACGGTGAGATGGGTGGGATGGGATGCACGGTGAGAGCACGGTGAGATGGGTGGGATGGGTTGCACGGTGAGAGCACGGTGAGATGGGTGGGATGGGATGCACGGTGAGAGCACGGTGAGATGGGTGGGATGGGATGCACGGTGAGAGCACGGTGAGATGGGTGGGATGGGATGCACGGTGAGAGCACGGTGAGATGGGTGGGATGGGATGCACGGTGAGATGGGTGGGATGGGTTGCACGGTGAGAGCACGGTGAGATGGGTGGGATGGGATGCACGGTGAGAGCACGGTGAGATGGGTGGGATGGGATGCACGGTGAGAGCACGGTGAGATGGGTGGGATGGGATGCACGGTGAGAGCACGGTGAGATGGGTGGGATAGGTTGCACGGTGAGAGCACGGTGAGATGGGTGGGATGGGTTGCACGGTGAGAGCACGGTGAGATGGGTGGGATGGGATGCACGGTGAGAGCACGGTGAGATGGGTGGGATGGGATGCACGGTGAGAGCACGGTGAGATGGGTGGGATGGGATGCACGGTGAGAGCACGGTGAGATGGGTGGGATGGGTTGCACGGTGAGAGCACGGTGAGATGGGTGGGATGGGATGCACGGTGAGAGCACGGTGAGATGGGTGGGATGGGATGCACGGTGAGAGCACGGTGAGATGGGTGGGATGGGTTGCACGGTGAGAGCACGGTGAGATGGGTGGGATGGGTTGCACGGTGAGAGCACGGTGAGATGGGTGGGATGGGTTGCACGGTGAGAGCACGGTGAGATGGGTGGGATGGGTTGCACGGTGAGAGCACGGTGAGATGGGTGGGATGGGATGCACGGTGAGAGCACGGTGAGATGGGTGGGATGGGTTGCACGGTGAGAGCACGGTGAGATGGGTGGGATGGGTTGCACGGTGAGAGCACGGTGAGATGGGTGGGATGGGATGCACGGTGAGAGCACGGTGAGATGGGTGGGATGGGATGCACGGTGAGAGCACGGTGAGATGGGTGGGATGGGTTGCACGGTGAGAGCACGGTGAGATGGGTGGGATGGGATGCACGGTGAGAGCACGGTGAGATGGGTGGGATGGGATGCACGGTGAGAGCACGGTGAGATGGGTGGGGGGGAGTGGGGGGGATGGGTGGGATGGGTTGCACGGTGAGAGCACGGTGAGATGGGTGGGATGGGATGCACGGTGAGAGCACGGTGAGATGGGTGGGATGGGATGCACGGTGAGAGCACGGTGAGATGGGTGGGATGGGATGCACGGTGAGAGCACGGTGAGATGGGTGGGATGGGATGCAGGGTGAGAGCACGGTGAGATGGGTGGGATGGGATGCACGGTGAGAGCACGGTGAGATGGGTGGGATGGGATGCACGGTGAGAGCACGGTGAGATGGGTGGGATGGGTTGCACGGTGAGAGCACGGTGAGATGGGTGGGATGGGTTGCACGGTGAGAGCACGGTGAGATGGGTGGGATGGGTTGCACGGTGAGAGCACGGTGAGATGGGTGGGATGGGTTGCACGGTGAGAGCACGGTGAGATGGGTGGGATGGGTTGCACGGTGAGAGCACGGTGAGATGGGTGGGATGGGATGCACGGTGAGAGCACGGTGAGATGGGTGGGATGGGATGCACGGTGAGAGCACGGTGAGATGGGTGGGATGGGTTGCACGGTGAGAGCACGGTGAGATGGGTGGGATGGGTTGCACGGTGAGAGCACGGTGAGATGGGTGGGATGGGATGCACGGTGAGAGCACGGTGAGATGGGTGGGATGGGATGCACGGTGAGAGCACGGTGAGATGGGTGGGATGGGTTGCACGGTGAGAGCACGGTGAGATGGGTGGGATGGGATGCACGGTGAGAGCACGGTGAGATGGGTGGGATGGGATGCACGGTGAGAGCACGGTGAGATGGGTGGGATGGGATGCACGGTGAGAGCACGGTGAGATGGGTGGGATGGGATGCACGGTGAGAGCACGGTGAGATGGGTGGGATGGGATGCACGGTGAGAGCACGGTGAGATGGGTGGGATGGGATGCACGGTGAGAGCACGGTGAGATGGGTGGGATGGGATGCACGGTGAGAGCACGGTGAGATGGGTGGGCTGGGATGCACGGTGAGAGCACGGTGAGATGGGTGGGATGGGATGCACGGTGAGAGCACGGTGAGATGGGTGGGATGGGATGCACGGTGAGAGCACGGTGAGATGGGTGGGATGGGATGCACGGTGAGAGCACGGTGAGATGGGTGGGATGGGTTGCACGGTGAGAGCACGGTGAGATGGGTGGGATGGGTTGCACGGTGAGAGCACGGTGAGACGGGTGGGATGGGATGCACGGTGAGAGCACGGTGAGATGGGTGGGATGGGATGCACGGTGAGAGCACGGTGAGATGGGTGGGATGGGATGCACGGTGAGAGCACGGTGAGATGGGTGGGATGGGATGCACGGTGAGAGCACGGTGAGATGGGTGGGATGGGATGCACGGTGAGAGCACGGTGAGATGGGTGGGATGGGATGCACGGTGAGAGCACGGTGAGATGGGTGGGATGGGATGCACGGTGAGAGCACGGTGAGATGGGTGGGATGGGATGCACGGTGAGAGCACGGTGAGATGGGTGGGATGGGTTGCACGGTGAGAGCACGGTGAGATGGGTGGGATGGGATGCACGGTGAGAGCACGGTGAGATGGGTGGGATGGGTTGCACGGTGAGAGCACGGTGAGATGGGTGGGATGGGATGCACGGTGAGAGCACGGTGAGATGGGTGGGATGGGATGCACGGTGAGAGCACAGTGAGATGGGTGCGATGGGATGCACGGTGAGAGCACGGTGAGATGGGTGGGATGGGATGCATGGCGAGATGGGTGGGATGGGATGCATGGTGAGATGGGTGGGATGGGATGCATGGTGAGATGGAGTGCAGAAGAACGTTGTCTGCTCCTCATATTTCCACTCACCAACCTTCTCCACATGCACCTACGGTTAAACACAGTCGGTTTGGAAAAAGAAGAGACGAGGAAACCAAGGAAGAAAGCTGCTAAAAGTGCTTCCATTTCTAAACATATCGCAGGGTGCACTCAGCCTCTGGAGCAGCTCCTAATAATCCCACTTCCCACCCTCCTCCACACCAGTTGCTCAGAAAATCCGCACTTTCACTTAACGCTCGGAACCAGCGTCACACAATGGCGGCGGCTGTATTCTCCCTCTACAACCGCCAGGAACCGCACCATAAAAAAAAAAAAAAAAAAAAAACCCTCGCAACACGAACACGCTTCCGGCCAGCGCCAGAAATGTAACACGCCTCCGGAAAATCTGCGCCAGGCTTCACCCACCATTTCTTCAACAGCCGACGGCCGCTGCTTTCGCTCTTTACGATCTCCAGAAACGGCACAAGCTATCCCTGTTATTCCAGCAGCTATCTCTTGATCCTATAACTCACCACTTCTTGAGCAACCCGCGGTGGCTGCATTTTCTCTCCACTATCGCTGGACATCGCACCGGCCCTCCTACATCCAGCAGCTACCCCCTTTAAACCACAACTCACCACTTCTTTAGCGGCCGGCAGCGGCTGTAATTTCTCTCCACGATCGCCAGGAACCGCACGAGCTCGGAGGCACCCACCACACATCCCCCTTTATCAAACAACTCACCACTTCTTCAACAGCCGGCGGCAGCTGTATTCTCTCTCCACGATCGCCAGGAACCGCACCAGCCGCCCCTTCATGTTTCCCCCGGACATCATCAGCACCTGCGACAGCTTCAGCGCGTTTCCGCCCTCCGTATAGCATCACTCACCACTTCTTCAAAGCTGACGACGACTGTATTCCCTCTCCACAATCGCCAGGAACGCACCAGCCGTCCCCGATATTGCACCACCTATCCCCTTAATCCTATCACTCACCATTTCTTGAGCAGCCGGCGGCGGCTGTATTCTCTCTCCACGATCGCGAGGAACCGCACCAGCCGCCCCTTCATGTTTCCCCCGGACATCATCAGCACCTGCGACAGCTTCAGCGCGTTTCCGCCCTCCGTATAGCATCACTCATCACTCCTTCAAAGCTGCGTGATAGGAGTCTAGATTTGCGTGATAGGCGCCTCAAAAATCGTTTCCGCCCTCCGTATAGCATCACTCACCACTTCTTCAAAGCTGACGACGACTGTATTCCCTCTCCAAAATCGCCAGGAACGCACCAGCCGTCCCCGATATTGCACCACCTATCCCCTTAATCCTATCACTCACCATTTCTTGAGCAGCCGGCGGCGGCTGTATTCTCTCTCCACAATCGCCAGGAACCGCACCAGCCGCCCTTTCATGTTTCCCCCGGACATCATCAGCACCTGCGACAGCTTCAGCGCGTTTCCGCCCTCCGCCCCGCCGTCCGCGCCCCCGCCCCCTTTGCCCCCCCCTTGCTTGAACCCCATCACCGTCTTCAGGTACTTCCGCGCAAACGCCAGCACCGCCGCGCGCAAAACAGCCTCTTCCGCCGCTCCCCCGCTTCCCCCTCCCCCTCCCCCTCCCGCTGCCCCGCCGGCGGCGGAAGCTCCCCCAGAGCCCGCTGCCGCGAGATTTTCCCGCGCCAGAAGGACGATACTGGTGGCGAGGCGCCAGACGTCGTATTGATAGTCTGCGATTACGGACTCGTCCGTGAGCGACAGGCCGTACATGGGGCCGTCGCTGTCGCTGCCCGACGCCGTGAACGACGACGTGGAGCAGTCGCCGACGATCCACGTCACCGTGCGACTGTTGCCGAAACGAGTCAGGCGCTCGTCGCCGCTGTGCGTCGCAGAGGGAGGGTAGGCGTGGACAGTGCGTGAGGCGCGGTGAGAAAGGAATGTGCAGGTGAGAATTTGATGTGAGAAATGTGACTTCTGCGTGGAGTGGAAAGATGAGGAAAGATGCACAGCCACGGGGTTTGAGTGGAAACAGCGCACAGGCTGGTCACCGCGTGTGCGTGATGACTTTTGAGTCGACTCAAAAGTCATCAAGATGAAGAAAGATGCACATCCACGGGGCTTGACCGGAAACAGCGCACAGGCTGGTCGCCGCGCGTGCGTGAGTAGGTTGGAACGCACCCAGAACCGGAGCCGGGGGAACGGGGGAAACACTGGCTCTTGAAAAAATATTTCCAGTGAGAGGGAAGTTAAGATCGACCTAGAGCGCGAGGGCAACTGAACTCGACCGGGTGAACATGTGACCAGGTTATAGCGGAAGTAGAATCAAGTCACAACTTCGCGACAGAAACGACTAAAAACGAGCTTTCTCACCTTAGGTCAGCCCAGAAGAGGTGATTGGTTCCTTGGAAGAAGGACACCGGCGATCGGCCAATCATGGCGTATTTATGAGCCAAGGCGGATCCGGGGAGGCCCTTGTTCCACTCCTCGATGGACGCGACGACGTGCATCTCGCGATCCGACATGGCCGGCCTCGCCATGCCGTTCTCCTGAAGCACCGCATCGCTCATGGCTGCGTGGCGAGCTAATTATAGGAACCGATCTTTCACAAAGAAACGGCTGGAAGCCACTAACGCATTATGAGATATTACTTTGTGAGAAACGCAGCTGAAGGGGTATGTCAGGGAGGTCAAACCGCAAAATAGGACCTAGCAGATTACCGAAGTGTGGAATCAAAGAAGGCACGGTGACGAATGATCAAGGGCGCTTACCGCAAGCTCAAACTTCGCCTAGCATGTTTTAGGCCTCCAAGAACAACGACCATTGACGCAGCAGCCAACAGGTAAAAGCCGGAAAAAAACTAAGATATTCAACAGTCGTCCTAAACGCCGAAGCGGAAGAGGTTATGCTGTTCGCAGGTAGGTGACCATTGAACCATGGTTGAGTGAAAGGAATCTGAGGACTGAACTGACGAAGGTAGGCAAAATTCCATGTCAGAGCATGAGGAGGGAACAAGTCCCAAAGTTGACTGACAAATCCCAATGGCTGTGTGTTCCGTCCTAGAGCGTGTTTATAAAACAATATTTCGACTGAAGTACTTCTTAGAAAGTGATTTAGAAAGCGGGTTGGAAAGCGAGTCCCCAGAAATTGGTGGGTCCGAACCGAAACTTTTGAATCTGCGCAAGTGAGAAGACCCTGAGAATTCTCGAGCTTGTCGCAAAAGTCTCGCAAAAGACGCGCCTGTCGATGCGTCGCCGAACATCGTCGCACGCAGGTCGTTGAGAGGGAACGAAGACCATTGGTTCAGAAACTGCGGGTGGGATCTGAGACTTCAAAATACTCGGTATTAGCGAAGCCGCTTTGTGAATTCTGTTCCCTCGTAAAATTTCAGATGCGATATTTGTTATTGTCCGCATTGTTCGAAAAGAAAGAGACTACACCAAGTTCAGTTCCTCCATTGAGGTAATGGTGCTTCCCTGTCCCTAGTGGAAAGAGACAGGAACTTCAACTTTGTTGGACAAAAGGATTCACCCGTCATAACGCCGATTCGCTACTACTTCGCATCATCCGTTTCCGAGTTCGTTGTAAAGTGCGGTCTGTTCTCCTAGCGATGGCTCCCACATCGCACCTTGCAGCATCGCGAATAAGGCTTCTACCATCGGCATGCCGAGCGTCCCACCAAACCGGAACCTCAGGCTCGGGCCGAACGAGGCAATGCTGCTTGGGCGCTCTTGGCTCCGCCGCGCCAGGGCGATCATGTGCCCTCAACCCCACATCTGAAACGTACCCGTTACGAGCACAATCTCGTCCTGTTCAGACGCCATGTGAAAAGCGCCCGCTATCAGCGCGCTCAGAGCGGGACACGCGGGTAGGATTCTCGAGGAGCCTCAAAGATAGTTCAGAGCGAGACATGCGGGCGCGAATTTCGCGGATGGGCGGAGCGCAAGGGCCGGGAACGCCAGCAGGAGCAGGGGGGTCGACCGGTCAGCCAGACCCGGACGGGTGGCGGGAGCTGTTGCGTGGGGGCGAGGACGTGGCGCAAGTGATGTCTGACATGGCCAACATTGTGAGGGCGCAGGTCTTAGGGTTTAGGCGTGGAGGGGTTTCCAGGTTTCCAGGGTTGAAGAATTTCGGAGTTGCCAGGGCTGACACGTGCAGTCCAGCAAAGCCCGAAACTTCAAAACCCCAAGCCTGATTATATCCCCGGACACCTCACACACAGCAGGGGAGTCTATTTTTGAGGCGCGTCAAAAAATGCAGTTCAACAAAGCCCGAAACTTCAAAACCCCAAGCCTGATTGCTGTGAGAAGTGAGATTATGTCCCCGGACACCTCACACACAGCAGGGGAGTGCCCTGCAGAGCACATGCCCCCATCGTCTCACCCCGCCTCTTCTCTCTTCCCTCATGACGCTCCCTCAGCTGGACGGGACATCCGGCCTGAAGGGCCGCGACGAGGGAGGCAGCGGTGCAGACTGCGGCAGCAGCAGGGCAATGCCCTTGCGCACTCGTCGTGGCTCGTGCCATGGACACTCAAACGCTGTCCCTAGCTGTCTCGTCCCTAGCTGTCTCGTCCCTTGCTGTCTCGTCCCTTGCTGTCTCGTCCCTTGCTGTCTCGTCCTTAGCAGACGAGATATCTTCAATGTCTGCATTTCCCCTTCGTTCCCACCCTCAGCTGGACGAGATATCCGGCCTGGAGGGGCGGGACGAGGAGGTGGCGGTGCAGATGGCGGCAGCAGCAGCCATAGCGGGTAGAGTGGGCGCCCTCGACCAGTCTTTCCTGGTGGCTCTCGAGTTCATGATGGGGCAGGCGGACTCTAACAACGACTCCAAGGTGTGCTATATGTTAAGAGAGGGGGGGGGTATGTGTGCTGCATTAGGTAGGCATGTGCAAGGGGCCATAGCGGGTAGAGTGGGCGCCCTGGACTGGACCAGTCGTTCGTGGTGGCTCTCGAGTTCATGATGGGGCAGGCGGACTCTAACAACGACTCCAAGCCAAGGTGTGCTATATGTTAAGAGAGGGGGGGGGTATGTGTGCTGCATTAGGTAGGCATGTGCAGGGGGCCATAGCGGGTAGAGTGGGCGCCCTGGATCAGTCGTTCCTGGTGGCTCTCGAGTTCATGATGGGGCAGGCGGACTCTGACAACGACTCCAAGGTGCGCTTTTAAGGTGTTTGTGGGTGTTGAGACTCGGGTGTTATTGTGGAACCCCAAAGCCATCTGTCCTTGTTGTATTGTAGTACCTGCATTTCCTCCTTGCACGTATGTGCAATGTGTGTCGCACCCCCCGCAGGGCCACTGGTTGCTGGAGGTGGTGGAGGAGCAGCTTCTGCTTTTGAGTCGACTCAAAAAGAGACTCATTACACGCGGATTTGTGTCAACTCAAATGCTGGAGGTGGTGAAGGAGCAGCTGCTAGCTCAGCTGCAGCACAAGGGTTGTTGAGCCACCTCCGCTGCTCATTTGCCATCGCCCATTGCATCCCACCCCACCCCTCCCAGGGCCGCTGGTTGCTGGAAGTGGTGAAGGAGCAGCTGCTGGCGCAGCTGCAGCAGAAGATGCCTCCCCAGGTATGGTTGCATAAGGGCTGCTGCTTGCCTAGTTGCTTCAAGTGCCCACTGGTTGAAGTGACCTGCTGGTCGGATATCACAAGTAAGTGAAAGTGGAAGTGGTAAAAGACTAAGGGTGGTTCTGAACCCTTAGGGCAGCTCCTTCAAACCAGGGTTCGACAAGGGTGCAAGATAGCTAAGTGTTCAGAGTTCGATAAGGGTGCGCCCAGGGGAGTCATTTTTTAGCATTCTCAAAAAAGGGTTCACTGCGCGTGCAGGGTTTGAAGGTTCCTGCCAGCTAGGTTCTCGTGGTCTTGCTTCTAGGCGCCTCATCAATGGCCACTCTTCTGGTCTTGCGTCCGGTTTCTGTGGACCATCTCACTCATCTCCACTGCTCTGCTCTGGTCTGGTCTGGCCTAGTCCGGTCCGGTCTGTCTCGAGAATGGTTTTGTGTCTATTTGCTGACTCGCACGGCCAGCAGGACATCACACGCATGCTACCACACCAGGGGAGGTTCTCTGGTCCTCTGGTCTTGTGTCCATCTGGTTTTTGCCTTTGGACACCATCATTTGCGCGCCATCATTTGCACGCCATCATTTGCACGCCATCATTTGCACGCCATCATTTGCACGCCATCATTTGCACGCCATCATTTGCACGCCATCATTTGCGCGCTATCATTTGCACGCCATCATTTGCACGCTCTTCTCACCCTCTTCATCCAGGTGGGAGCGGTGTGGTGTGGCTCCTCATGATGGCTACATCAGGCAAGGACTGAAGCCGAGACATCATCACATGGGCGCTGGCAGGGGGGGGGGGGGCAAGCGAGCTTGTGAGGCGAGTCCTTGGCCCATCTGATGTTCTCGACACCACACACTCCATTTTTGAGGCGCCTCAAAAATAGACTTCACACACTCCATCTCATTCTCACCTCTTTCTCACCCTTTCCAGGTGCAAGTGGTGTCGCTCCTCGTTGCCACGTCCGACAAGAACCGGCGCCGAGACATCATCACACGGGCGCTGGCAGGGGGGGGCAAGCTGCCTGGCGAGGCGAGTCCAGGCGGCATGGGCAGCATGGACATGGGGCCACAGGAGGTGCACGTGCCGGGGGCTAACCTGGATGAGATCATCGCTCAAAGTGACGACCTCGTTGCGGTGAGTGCTTGCTGTGGTTGCTGCCGCAAGGGCTGTTCTCGGCATGGAGAGCATGGGGAGCATGGGGAGCATGGGGAGCATGGGGAGCAGGGGGAGCATGGGGAGCATGGGGAGCATGGGGAGCATGGGGAGCATGGGGAGCATGGGGAGCATGGGGAGCATGGGGAGCATGGGGAGCATGGGGAGCATGGGGAGCATGGGGAGCATGGGGAGCATGGGGAGCATGGGGAGCATGGGGAGCATGGGGAGCATGGGGAGCATGGGGAGCATGGATGGGGAGCATGGGGAGCATGGGGAGCATGGGGAGCATGGGGAGCATGGGGAGCATGGGGAGCATGGGGAGCATGGGGAGCATGGGGAGCATGGGGAGCATGGGGAGCATGGGGAGCATGGGGAGCATGGGGAGCATGGGGAGCATGGGGAGCATGGGGAGCATGGGGAGCATGGGGAGCATGGGGAGCATGGGGAGCATGGGGAGCATGGGGAGCATGGGGAGCATGGGGAGCATGGGGAGCATGGGGATGGGAGCTCAGGAGGTGCACGTGCCAGGGGCTAACCCGGAGGAGATCATCGCTCAAACCGACGACCTCGTTGCTGTGAGTGCCTAGTTCTGGCCGGTCTCTTGTGCTTATGAGGCGAGTCCAGGCGGCATGGGCAGCTTGTACATGGGGCCACAGGAGGTGCATGTGCCGGGAGTGAAGCTGGAGGAGATCATTGCTCAGACAGACGACCTCAATGCGGTGAGTGCTTGTGGTGGGTGCTGCCATCCGGGCATGCTGTGAGTGAGTGCGTGCTGCTGACTGTCACTGCTTGCTGGTTGGACTGCTGTCGGCGAGGAAAATACCATCCGCGTTCCATTCTTCCAGGAATGTCAGAGAAGTTGAGGGATTCGATCGAACCACATGAATGTCTCGGACCATTCAGTAACGTCATCGCAGCTCCATTTCCGGTCCTCGCAGCTCCATTGCCAGTCCCTTCCATTGCCAGTCCCTTCCTCCCCTACTACCACCAGTCTCAAAGAAGACCCCCCCTCTCCACAGGGGACATTCAGAACCAACCCTCTTTTTTTCTGTGCCCCCCCCCCTCTTGCCACTAGTCCATGGAGGAACAGCCATGAGTGAGGACTCTATTTTTGAGGCGCCTCAAAAATAGGCGCCTCTTGCCACTAGTCCATGGAGGAACAGCCATGAGAGGGGGGGTGACGCTAACCCATCAGAGACCGTCGGCTTTTAAGGCGCCTCAAAACCCCCCCCCCCCCTCTTGCCACTAGTCCATGGAGGAACAGCCATGAGAGGGGGGGTGACGCTAACCCATCAGAGACCGTCGGCTTTTGAGGCGCCTCAAAAACGATTTTTGAGGCGCCTCAAACCCCCCCTCCCCTCTTGCCACTAGTCCATGGAGGAACAGCCATGAGAGGGGGGGTGACGCTAACCCATCAGAGACCGTCGGCTTTTGAGGCGCCTCAAAAACGATTTTTGAGGCGCCTCAAAACCCCCCCCCCCCCTCTTGCCACTAGTCCATGGAGGAACAGCCATGAGAGGGGGGGTGACGCTAACCCATCAGAGACCGTCGGCTTTTGAGGCGCCTCAAAAACGATTTTTGAGGCGCCTCAAACCCCCCCCCCCCCCTCTTGCCACTAGTCCATGGAGGAACAGCCATGAGAGGGGGGGTGACGCTAACCCATCAGAGACCGTCGGCTTTTGAGGCGCCTCAAACCCCCCCCCCCCCCCCTCTTGCCACTAGTCCATGGAGGAACAACCATGAGAGGGGGGGTGACGCTAACCCATCAGAGACCGTCGGCTTTTGAGGCGCCTCAAAAACGATTTTTGAGGCGCCTCAACCCCCCCCCCCCCCCCCTCTTGCCACTAGTCCATGGAGGAACAGCCATGAGAGGGGGGGTGACGCTAACCCATCAGAGACCGTCGGCTTTTGAGGCGCCTCAAAACCCCCCCCCCCCTCTTGCCACTAGTCCATGGAAGAACAGCCATGAGAGGGGGGGTGACGCTAACCCATCAGAGACTGTCGGCTGCTAGCCAAGCCAGGCCGCTGCTCGCAAGGGAGTGGGCCCCATCGCTCATGGCAGGGGACATTCAGAACCCCTGTATCCGCTCCATTCCGTGGGCCCCCCACTATTCCCATCAGGCTATAATGGAGGAACTACCCATCAGAGACCGTTGTCTGCTGGCCAGGCTACTGCTAGCGAGGGAGGAACCTCCATCACTCATGGCAAGCAACAATCAAGTCCGTCCGCTCCGCTCCATTCCCACTTCCCCTCTCTGTCCCTTCCCCTATTGCCACCAGTCTATCTCCCAGTCCCTGTCACTCATGACAGAGGGAATTCAGGACCCCCCGCTCCGCTCCATTCCGTCTCCCCCCGCCTGTCCCTTCCCCCGATGCCACCAGTCTATGGAGGAGGAGCTACCCATCAGGGACCGTCGGCTGCTGGAGGAAGCTCGATCGCTCATGGCAGGGGACATTCAGTACCCCCCTCCCTGCTTCTATCCCTGTCCCCCCTCCCCGTCCCTTCCCTATTGCCACCAGTCTTTGGAGGAGGAACTACCCATCAGGGACCGTCGGCTGCTGGCCAGACTACTGTTAGCGAGGGAGGAGGCGCGCTCGCTCATGGCTGGGGGCATCCAGGACCCCCGCAACGACGTGCGGCGACTCAAGAACGTTCCCGAGACCGAGGTAAGGCAAGGAGTGCAGCGCCTTTGAGTAGCTATGGTTCAGTCTCAACCAAACCATGCTCGAATTTCTCGACAACCCCATGCAACGACGTGCAGCGAATCAAGAACGCCCCTCAGACTGAGGTAAGGAAATGATTTCCAAGTGAAGTTTATTCAATCCAAACCGTTTCTCAGAAGAAGATAAAACCCACAAAGCCCGAGCATGATTTTTTTTTTTTTTTTTTTTTTTTTTTAACGTTTGCAAACAGGGCCACTGAACCACATGACTTTTGAGTCGACTCAAATGTCACACCCCCTTGGCTCCCACTGTATAGGTCCGGTTCTTATCCACTCTGGTGGCCGTCAAAGCACCCGACACGCCGAAGAAAGGTGACCTTTGAGCCGGCTCTGAAGTCACTGCCCCCTTGCCCGCACTTCCCAGGTCCGGTTCATATCCACTCTGGTGGCCATCAAGGCGCCTGACGCACTGAAGAAGCGATTTTTGAGGCGACTCAATAGTCACTGCCTGTTGTCTCAAGAGTAACTGTCCCTTTGCCCCAATTGCACAGGTCCGGTTCATATCCACTCTGGTGGCCATCAAGGCGCCTGACGCACTGAAGAAGCGGATCTTCGATGTGATGGATGGCCGGCAGGAGGGCGAGTACAAGAAGGGGAGTGACGGCCCGATCAAGGTAGGTGTTGTCTAGTGATTGTTGTGATGCTGATTCTTGGTGTGATAGAGGGGAGGGAGGAGAGGAGGGCGAGTACAAGAGGGCATCGATGACCTGGTCAAGGTAGGGCGTTTCTTTTGGCACATCAAGATGTCAATGCTGATTGAAATCATGCTGCTTGAGGAGGCCGCTTGAAGAAGGGGGAGGGACGAGGGTGAATAGAGAGAGGGGTGGGAGAAGGATGAACCGAATAAGAGAAGTGACGGAGCAGGGTGTTTTTTGAGAATTCTCAAAAACACCCTGCAAAATAGAGGGTTGAGAGAAGGATGAACAGAATAAGTGAAGGGACGGAGCAGGGCCTATGAAGGTGGGGTGGGGTGTTCCTTTCTGTGGCTGCCTTTGTTGCATCTGAACAGTGTTGGTGCGCTATTTGTCACTATATTTTGGCTTGATCAATGTGCCACCCTTGGATCCCATTGTAACTGACTCATTTTCATTCTAATCCTTCTCCATTTTGGTTTACAGGTTCAGGGGTCCAAGGGCTCTGCTCCTGTTCGTCCAGGCCACCTGCTGGACACCATAACCAAGGTATATTATGCTTTGTGTTCCCAAAATCTTACGCACCATGATATAATATTTGTGCTCCCATATGACACCAAGTTATGCGGCACGGTTTCTTTCGTGGTGTGCTGGTGCTGCAGGTTCTTGGCGGAATGTACAGAACAGGAGGGTCTGGTGTTACCGTGCAACAATTAGAATGGGTGAGAAGAGAACAGCTTCATCCTGTTCACAATGATGTTTTGTGTATTCAACCTTTTTGTACTAACTCATGTTCCTATCCTATTTATGCCTTGATTTTGCAACCTCATTCTCTGTTGGCAGATTCGGAAGGAGACACTCGATGCTTTACAAAGAATAGGATTCAGTCAATGAACATCCCCGTGAAAGGAACACTACATGCAATGCAACTCAGAGTTGAGAAAAGTTTGGCTCCAGCTACTGGGACTTGATTACACATGCTACCGAATGCAACCATGCCAAGGTTGATATGTTCAGAAGCAATGTGGGGAAGATTGCATGGATCAGGAAGAATACGCGGATATCAGCAATAGGAGAGTGAATAGGGATGAGTCAACTGGGGAAACAAGGTAAGGTTAACAGAGTGAGGAAAGGAGGTGATATGTGCTGCTGACTTTTTAATAAGTTATTTTTTAAAACTAGCTAGGGTGTGATGTGTAGGAAAAGAGAGGACGCCTGTAAACTCGTTGTTGGTGTGACTGCACACGAGGTGGAACATCGCCGTGCGGAATTGCAGCAGCATCCGCAGTCCTGCGCGCATCCAAGCCATCTGCACGCGCAAGCAATTGCCTGAGCCCATGGAATGCCTGGCCTCAGCTTCTCATTGGCTGCCGCCATTTTCTTCCTTCCCCACCCCGTCATTCCCAAATCGCGCGGCCCCCTTGAACTTCCCTGGAAAGTCTTCTGTTTACATGATAAGCTGGCCGGGTTCTCCCTTATGTCAGTCTAATATTGTAAGATACCTAAATGAAAATACCTTGGGATCATTTCAATTGAGGGATTTTCCGGCCTTCGACAGGCCATTGTCTTCCTCACCTTCGACAGGTGGGATCCCAACCACTGTCGAGTCTGTCGGGTGCCAAAACTGCTTTCTACACAAGTCGCCTTGTTTTCCCAAACCACTTCTCCTCATTCAAAGACTAGTCTCAAAATACTTTTTTAGTATCACTGATTGGTATCGCCTTCCCTTCAGAACGCCTGTAGCTGGAACCTAGCCTGAGAGCCATATTATGGCACCTTGAAATCAGGTACGTCCCCGTCTCATACCCGAGGGCTTTAGGGTAACTTACGTACGATTATGATTCCAACGCTGGCAGGGAACCCTTCCACCCGCTCAACTGCCCCTGCCCCGTACAGTCCTGTATTGCAGCATCTGAAAGTAATTTCTGCACCTCGGGTCTGACCCGAGGCTGACTCGCGGTCGAAGGAGCCGCGGGGTTTAGAGCCGCAGGGTCTAGTGACTTTGACGGTAGTGCGCCTACAGAGGTGCAGAAAGTCGCAAAACGAGTTGACGATGTACAGATTACCCCACAGAGTTGTCGCAAAGCGATTCGGGAGGTGTACATTGGCGGACGACGTACTTACGCCACTCTAGTCCGGTAGGTTTGTATGCGAACGGTGAGTTTCCGGTCAAGCAGCCGTCAGGAGTCGTTAGACCCGAGGCAATTTTTTGCCACCTCGGGTGTTCCCGTATGATACTAGTGTTAGACACGAGCTCCAGAATACGCTCACCCGAACGACCCGCTTCCGTTTTGATGACAACATCGAGGGGTGGGTGACTGAATCGACACAGGTGCAGCCAAAGCTGATCAAGTGGGGGGGAGGGGAGGGAGGGGACTGACCAAGGGAACAGTTTGAAACTGAGTGAAACTGGGATGGAAGTTTGGAGGGACAGTTGAAAAGGTCCAAGGCAACTTCTGGGTCCTGAACTTCAGGACAAAAGCCTTACTGAAAACTCAGAAGTTGCCGAAACTCCAGTTCAGCCTGAAACTACAGTTCAGCTGAAACTCGAGTCCCAGAAGCTTCCAGTGAGGCAATTAATAGTAGGCAGGAAGAAGGCAGAATAGTAGGCAGGACGAAGGCAGAACAGTAGGCATTGTGGCGAGTAATATTACTACAGGTTTACCTGTCGGCGCGAGAAGCCTTCTCTGCTTTTCGAGGTGCCGCTCGGGGTGGAGTTAATTCCAGTCCATGCTTTCTTGGTAAGTCGGTCCTAAAGGCAGTCCCATCATCTTCTCGAGGCAGTGATTCCTCTTATTCCGCCGTTCCACAAAATTTCCAGCCTTATCGCGAACAATGTTTTTGTTCCTGAAACTTCCGTTTGCCAAGCGAGGGGACCCTTAGCTTTGACCAGCCGTAACAACTGGTGCATGGATCTTATCTTCCACAATATTTTCCCGATCTCTATTCTACAGCCGTGATTCCCCGCGTTGATGTTCCGCATACCCCTATTTCGAATAGCAGTGCTTCCCCCCTCATCAGTCAAACTAATTTTTATTCAGTGCTCTGTTGCATGCCCAATTTTTCGATCACCATGTTTTGTTTTTCAACTCCTTCCAGCTTTACCCTTAAAATCAACGCGAAGGCGGCAAGTCAGTCACCGCGGTAGTCAACAACTGTAACTGACCGTGGCGGCAACTGTAACTGATCGAGCTCCACCAGGGCTACGAATGTCCACCGGCCAGGTCTTTAACTACCGGGATAACCAAACGATGTGGGGATAATCGCAATAGAAGTACCAAATAGCACCATTTAGGCAGCAGCACCACCACCAGCATCGGCAGCAGCAACAATAGATCACGATGGGGGACGCAGCCGGTTTAAAGACATTCACGTCAGAAGAGCTCGAGGAAGCCACGAATAGCTACTCGCGGGAAAACTCGCTCGGCCGCGGCGGGTTCGGCACGGGGTACCGCGGGAAGCTCGCGGACGGGTCCCCGGTGCTTGTAATGAAGCTGAACCCCGATAACACCCGCCAGGCCGCGGAGAAATTCACGCGTGAAGTGACGATCCTCACGCGCGCGGACCACCCGCACATCGTCAAGCTCCTCGGGTACAATCCCGAGGCACGCTGTATCGTGTACGAGTCCCTCCCGGCGGGGACCCTCGAGGACCGTCTGCTGACGGAATCCGGACGGAAAACGTTAAAGCAGAAGGACCGGCTGAGAATCGCTGCAGAGGCGTCCGAAGCCCTGCTCTTCCTCCACCAACTGGACCCCCCGATCCTCCACCAAGACGTGAAGCCCGGAAACGTGATGCTGAATGAGGACCTGTCTTGCAAGGTCGGGGGAGTCGGCCTGGCGAAGTTCCTCCCCGCGAACGACTCGTCCATCTGGGGCACCGTGGGATACATCGACCCGCTGCTGCTCCGCACGGGGAAGTACGGGCCCCAGTCGGACCTGTACGGGCTCGGGCTGGTGATCCTGCAGCTGCTGACCGGCGAGAAGGTGAACAAGGTGCTCGAGTTCGCTAAGTTCGGACTAGACGGGATTCTGGACCATCTGGATAAGACGGTTCAGTGGAACCCCGAGATTGTTAAGGAGGTTGCTGACGTGGCGCTCAAGTGTAGGGATCGGATGAGCCGGCCGGATCTGGAGACGGTGGTGCTGCCCATGCTGAAGAAATACGCGGAGCAGACGAAAGGGGAGAAGGAGGCGGACGCTGCCGCGCCTGCTGCTGGTGCTGGCGGTGCTAAGGGTGGTGGTGGGGGTGGGTCGAGTAAGGGGCATGATAAGAAGCCAGCAGCGGGTGCTGCGGCTCCTGCTCCGCAGAAAAAATCGCTATTTGGATATTTCTTTGGTAAGCGGTAAAGAGGTGCGGTGGAGAGGAGCGGTGAAGAGTGGTGGAGAGGAGCGGTGAAGAGCGGTGGAGAGGAGTGGTGAGGAGGAGCGGTGAAGGGAAGAAGGCGGCAGCCGCCCTTCCTGCTGCTACTGCAGGCGCCAGGCCACAAAAGAAAGTCTTTGTTTGGGTACTTGTTTGGTAAGCGGTGAAGAGAAGCGGTGGGGTGAAGCTGCAGTGGAGGGAGGGAGGGAGCATCCGGTGGAAGCGGGGGAGCAAAGCTGCGGGAGTGTGTGTGGTGATGCCTCAACAGATGGCGGAGGAGCAAAGCCGGAGTTGAAGGGGCGGCGATGGAAGCAAGGGAGCAGAGGGATGGTGGCGGATACGCACGAGCTGATCCGGGGGAAGAGGGGGAGCAAAGCTGCGGAAGGAATATGTGAGGTGGGTCAACAAACGGCGGAGGAGCAAAGCCGGAGTTAAAAGGAGCGGGGATGGAAGCCAGGGAGCAGAGGGATGGTGGCAGATGCGCAGGAGTAGGTCCGGTCCGGGGTGGAGGCGGATGGGAGGTATTCCAGAAGCGGACGGAGGGTTTGAGGTGCATCGACAGGTTGCGAGGGGGGCACCGCTGCAGTAAAGGGAGGAGGGGTGGGATGGAAGCAACGGCATGGATGGGCAGAAGCAGGTCCGGTCAGAGGTGGCGGAGGATGGGAGGTATTCCAGGAGCAGAACAGAGCAGGTAGGGGTATTGGTAGGGGTACTGGTAGGGGTATTGATAGGGGTACCGGTTGGGGTACTGGTATTGGTATTGGTGTTGGTATTGGTAGGGGTATTGGTTGTTTAGAATCGAGCAGGCAGCAGTAGGTAGATGTAGGGTCGGAAGCGGAAGGGGTGGGAAAGATTCGGGGGGGGGGGGGGGGGGAGTGGGCAAGGTGTGATTTGCTAGTGTCCATCCACGCAGGTGGCATCAGGCTATCAAGCCAACTGAGGCGTGATTCGCCTCAGCTGGAGCTCTCTCCACGACTGAAGCACGACTTGGGAGTTGCAATGAGTCGTGCCTTGCTGGCTGGGCCTGCTGGGGCGTGCGTATGCATGGTGGCAGGCTGGCTGGGCCTGCTGGGGCGTGCGTATGCATGGTGGCAGGCTGGCTGGGTCTGGCTGAGTCTGACTGGTTCCGGATGGGTCTGGTTGGGTCTGGCTGGGTCTGGTTGGGTCTGGCTGGGTGTAACAGGATGGCTGGATCTTGCTAGGTCTTAGGTGCGTGTAAGCATGGTGGCAGGGTGGCTGGTCCGTTTTAGCGTTATGGCAGGAGGGAAGCGGAAGTTCAAGGAAATGCATCAAGGCGGAGGGGGGCCTTTGTGGCAGACATTACTGTGGCCATGTGTTGGAAGTATAGGGAGGAGGTTATGCATGCATGAGGAACGTAGGGAGAGGGTTGACTTGTGCTAGGTGAGTGCCTTGCCTGTGGACCATGCCCGCTGGTGCGGCGCTTTCCTCACTCGGGATGGCGTGACTGGGAAGGTTGACGCTCACAGAATGGAGGTCATGGGAGAAAGTGGGCAGTCAGCTGGTTGCTTCTCTGCTGGCTGTTAAGAGGGTGTGTGCTGTTATCTGACAATGGTCATCGTAGGTGTATAATATTGATAAAGTAGGTTTTTGCATACACTATGACCCAGGTTTTTCCGTTGCTCGTAGGAGTGGTGATTTCCTCTGCATGGCTCAAGCATGCAATCATACATGATACTATCGTCGTCATTGTCCAAAGAAGGAATTCCATGTTTACTACGTGAAGCGTGAAGTTTGTCACATGTTTTGGAAAGTCGAAAATCTGGAGGCAGGTTGAAGAGAATATATTATGGTGAAGTTTGATGCGTTTCGATTGGAGAATAGAATTTCCTTGCATCATGTTTTACGTGTACCACGTGGCACCCACTGGAGCTGACGTGAAACGGCAGCTATTGGTGCCAAAGCAGTGACTCAGCAGAAGACTTTTGTGGCCCACATCTCTCATCTATTTGCGAAGGATCCCCCCACACGAACGCGCAAGAACCTTCCACCACTCACAATTGCCCAATCGGATCAGGGCCAGTCAGCGTTGGGGGAAGGCAAAAGTTGACAAGCCGAAACGCCAGCCCTCCTGTGCACGCGCCAGCGTGTCTTCGATGCGGTTGGATGAGATGACATTCTCTGATTGGAGTAAATGTTTGACAAACTTGTACGCACGTGTCTGCAATTGACGCTAGTTGTGGATGCCACTCACCAGGCCGGTTCAGAATCTCCCGATTTTCATCCCTCGGATGAAACCGAGGCGCGTGGAAAGTGACTGACAGGGCAAGTACAATGTGGATGACCTCATGCTCAGCTTTCGCGAAGAAACACTACCTCTCGAAACTTTCATTCGTCTTTCGCCAGCGTTTGCACGCTCGTATATTGGTCCGTCTAGAAGGAAACGAAGAGGTAACCATATCCAGGGAATCGTGCAACTGTCTGGCACAGGCTGTTCAGATGGGATGCAGCGTCGGTGAGACAGGGAAGGAGTTGGGTTAGGTGTTGGAAACTGAAAAACGTTTAATCAGGGTGGGAAACGGTGGCTTTAGGATAGAGCACGGTCAAGCTGAGGGAAGGGAGTGACAGTTGGGAGAGAGGAAGGATGCGAGAGGGAGCCAGCAGAAGCTCTCCCCCAACCAGCCATGCTGAAGCCCAGACAGACCAGAGACATGACAGACATGACTGCTGTGAGGACAAGCAGAGGGGCTTCATTGTGCTGTAAGCGTCTATCCTGGTTAGCGTATAATATAAGCGAGGCTAGTGACTGATAACTCATCCATAAGATTTTAGCAAACACGGAGGCACTCTGCCAGTGAAATTTTGAGTAGACTGCAGTCAGCTGTCTCCTCCCTTCATTCCTCCAACAGCAGTTGTGGCTGTGGTGTCCCTAAGGTCACTGCAGTAGAACTGCTTTCTTGAAGGGTGTGAACAAGCTCTGCAAGAAACTTCAATCATGGCGGCCGTGTCTGCAACCGTTCCCCGCGTCGTGGCTCACGCCACCGGCATCTCAAAGTGCACCTCAGCGAAACTTGAATCCACTTTTAACGCAGTATCTGTGACGCCATGGAAGCAACAATCCATGCTCGGGAGCCTGCTTGCATCAAAAGCCGCGAGGGGAGGCTCTGCTAGGGTTGTGGAGAGCTTCGTGCCTGGCAAGTGCGAGGCGACTATGGAGTTCTTCAAAGGGAAAATGTCCGAGGGTTTTCAGGAGGACGACACGGAATTCTCCAGAGCCACTGTCGTCGAAGCAAGTAAGTATATAAAATCCTCCGTCGGAAGGTCGTTTTCCTTCTTTATAATTCACTTATCTCCCTGGAAGACGTGAAACGCGTGTTACCCTGAATTTGTGTTACATCAAGCCGGACGTCCACGTAACATCAAACGGAAATTGGACTAATTGTGCCTCCTTGCTTGCTTGCTCGCGCAGATGAGGTGAAGAGTAGCGTGGATGGGTTCGTCGTCAAGATGTCCGACGGCTCGCTCGCGGAAGCTGTCGTAGGTTGGAACTGAAATTGGACTAATTCTGTCCCCTTGCTTGCTTGCGTGCTTGCTTGCTCGCACAGATGAGGTGAAGAGCAGCGCTGATGGCTTCGTCGTCAAGATGTCCGACGGCTCGCTCCTCAAATGCGCTCACACAAACCCCGACGGCGCGAGGCTTCCTGACTATACGGCCCAGCCGGCCATTGTCCTCAAACTCGAAGACGGCAGCGGCATTCTTCTTCCGATAATCGTCCGTAAGTGGACCCGGAACCACTGTTTATGAATATATCTCAATTATTGCTCGGAATTTCAACCCAGAGCTCGTCTGTGGTTTACTTGGACCGCTAATTCCGCTATCCGAAAGGTTGTTGTCGTTTCGGTCCTGTGTCACTTATCCTTCTCAGTTTCTTCTCTTTCATGTCTTTCAATTGCAGTGGACTTGCCGAGCCAGATGGCTCAAGAGGCCATCCGAAATGTCCCACTCGTGAGTACTTATCCGAATTTCACGCCCAGGAGACATTCGTCCAGGGTTACTTTTCATTCCTTGCTTTTCTCTGCCGCTCACTTCCCTGACGTTAAATTTCTTCGTTAATGCGTTCAGGCCAGGCCAACGGTGTACCTGGTGATGAGAGACATGATCGACATGATGGGATACAAGGTGAGAATACGAGCAAAATTAGTGCAACATCAACAAACAGCTCGATTACACGTCAGCGCAGCAGCGCCACAGCACAGCTCATTATCTCCCCCTTTATTTATCGCTGCCGTTTCAAGTAACCAACATCCCTCACTTATTATCCCAATTCTCCTGCTCTGTTTCGCTCTGTGACAGCTCAAGTTGGTGCGCATCACTCATCGCGTGTGTGAGGCATACTACGCCCGAGTTTACCTCGAGAAGGTAAATTCCCGGACCACCAAGGCGCCGTCCACGCAAATTCCTTCACACTGTCTTATTTTTCCTGGTGGAATCGACCTGGGAATGTCCTTCGCTTACAGGTTTATGTCCACCTATCCATGCCGTGTAATCACGCTACATCACTCTTACATCACATCTTGCTTGCAGGTCGGCGAGGGGGGAGAAACTGTGTTCAGTCTTGACCTGAGGCCGTCTGACGCCATCAACCTGGCCATCCGAGCGAGGGTACGCGCTCTTTTCTTACCGTTAGACGGTAACGTCATTTTGAAAACTTTAGCTGGTCTCGTCATGCTTGTACTTTGTTCAACCCGGGTGCCGATGCGAAATCTGGTGTTTATGCGGGGCTTGCTTGCTTTATTTAATCCGTCCGTAGCTCTTTTGCATGAATTGCGTGTTTGCCGATTTCCAGGTGCCCATTCAGGTGAACAGATCTCTGGCAGTGGGAGATGGCGTGAGAGTCGTCAGCACTGCGCCGCAGCCAGGGGTCCGTCCTGCCCGGACAATCCGCCGACGCAACTTCGTGCCTACAGAGGAGGACATGTGAGTCCATTGTTTGTAACAGCACAAGACAGAGGATAACACGCTCTGCACGGAATCATGCTCTGCAGCATCACACATTCTGCATCGAACACATTGCTGAGGGTCAGCATTGGGATTTTTTTTACAGCCTTCTGGGTTTTGAGTTTCGGTGAAAATTGGTAGTCAGAGTGGCCAGAGCCTTACGATATGCTGCCATGATTATCTTCTTGCAGGCCTGACAAGTCGAGCATGGTGCTGCAGGACCTTACAGCGGAATTCAGGCTGCTTCAGACCATGCAGCATGCCATAGCAGAGGAGCGCTTTACTGATGCAGGTATGTATGGGCGTACCCCATAAGCTGGCGAATGACCCTCTTTTATCCCCATAATGTTGCATGGAACCTACCCATGTTTGCATGCCAGGTCAGTCGCATCCCTGAGTCATTGACAATCGCCCTCTTCCCCACCCGTCACCCACCCAACCTTTTTAACCATCCAGCTAAGATTCGTGACGAGCTCACAGCCTTCCGCACACTCAAGACCAAGCTTGAGGACTGACTGAAGCTCCACGGAATTCCTCTGGTATTAGAAAGTAACTCTGGCGGAGGTCAACAGTAAACGCTGGCTGGTTAAGAGAGGGCCAGACTGTGCTGTCGCCAGCAACCTGAGTCTACCCGCTCTCCTTCCCCTGCTTCTAAGTGCAAGGGCTTCATTCTGTGCCTCCGCTCTGGCTGTCTAGGGGGGGCGAGAGGCTTGTCTTGTAAAGAGGAGCATCACGGGGGTGCGGTGCAGAGGTGTATGTATGTATGTCAAGGACGTGTGTTTTGTTTAGGTGCAGAGGTGGAGGAGCTGGTGCTCCTCCCCGGTCACGAGGATCAGGGAGGCCAGTCTCTTGCTGAGTGAGTTGAGGAAGGCAGCGTGTACATAGGTGTGTCACCTTTCTGTTGTGTGAATGTGTTTATAGTGTGCATTTCGAGTGAAGAGTTTGACCAAACCACAGCAGATTGAAGTTATACAGTATTTGAGTTGGTAACCTGGATGATTGATTGCACAACAGGGGACAAGATTGAGGAGCTGGACGTGGGATCAATACATGGTGGGATTCAATATACCCTATTGAGGTGAATCAATATACCCTATTGGGACTCTGGGACCATGGGAGATACGTCCCCTAACCCTGAAGGTGCCAATGACTGGCTGAAACATGGAGAAACGACACTGGACTGGGTAGAGGGAATGCCTGAAAGAAGAGCGCCTAAAAGAAAAGCGCCGGTCCGGAGCCTTACGGTATTCAATCAAGAATCTCCAAAACATCTGGCCTCAGGACTTCGACCCCATCCACCACATGCCGAATCATCGGCCAATCAGGTGTCGCCGTCAAGATCTCCGGACATGCTGCTTCCCCTCCTCCATCCCTTCCCCCTTCACTCCCCCCCCTCCACTCCCCACTCCCCCCTCCCCCCCGCCACCAACCACCAGGATCGTATCCTCCGATCTTGTACCCGCTATAGACGGATTCCATGCAAACGCTTGTGGCGAGCCCACGTAATACCTTACCCCCGGCTCCGCTTTCCACTCCCGAGTCCGGTACCCCGTCGCCCCCCCTTGGTGGTGGTGCAGCCACTCGTTCCGAAACCCTCGCTCCTCATAGGCCCGCTGGATTCTCGCCATGATTGCGTCTGACGTGGCGCCGATGCACGTGCTGGCGATCGCCACGCTGTCGACGTAGGTGACGGCGGTGTGC